ATTACAGCAAAGAAATAGACCACTTAGCTCGTCGCGGCCGCACTGATGTTTTGCTGCAAAAGCCATTAATCGAATCCCACTCTCCTGCTCGCTCCCCCCACACCACTTAATATTCCTGACTCTTTCTTCAAGCATCTATCGAATTCCCATTTAAAAGCACTAACAGACTCCATGGTACGTGGCAGGGAATTCCACATTCCAATCACCCTCTGCGTAAAAAGTTTTCCAACCTCTCCATTGTGTGAACTTCTTAAGTACATTCCCTGCTTTCCCAGATCAGTGGAAATGATCGACTAATATTTACCCCATTGTGATCCATTTGGCCCATTCCAGAGAAAAGAACTTTTCTCCTGTGTTTTGCAAAATGGTTGCTTCACCACACAGCTATATGCCGTAATTCCCTCTCGAATTTGCTGACATAATCTACCTTCACTACATTTCTCTAAGGCTATGCATATTCCAAATCTCAGCACTGTACTAGGGCACCACTCTGCTGGAGGAGTGCTCGAGGAAATAGACAATGAATAAAAACAGCTGTTGGTTAAATGCCAGTGCACTGACTGGATGAAAACTATTAATCTAGCATTTTGATTCAATCAGACAATCACTGTCCATTAACAGAGTGACTGGTTAAACTCCGTAGGAAAAACACAGAGGCAAATTGGCAATGACCACAAGCACAGACAACAACAACATCATGGGAGCTTTTGCATGCCCAACAAAGCATGTCAAGCTTGCCTCAGTTGGTAATATTCACCTCCGAGTCGGAAAGTTGTGGGTTCAAGCATCACATTGAGACTTTGAGCTCACAGCTTAGGCTGACAGAAGCCATGCTGCAATAGAGGCACCATCCTTTCAGTGAAATATTAAACAGAGGTGCCATCGGGAGGGAGGAAGTGGTTTTGGCCAACAATCCTTCAGCTAATTGGTCATTCACTTCATGACCGTTTGTGGGACTTTGCAAATGGCTGCCACATTTGCTTCCAAATACAGTCACAACACTTGACAGTAATCAACTGTGAAGTGCTCCAGCGGTGAAGCTTGCAAAAGCATAGGAGACATGGACTGAATGACCTCCTTCTGTGCTGTAATTTCTATGATTCATGAGATATCCACAGCACGCAATGCTGTCCTGCTGATTTGATAATGCACAATTCTACATCTCCGCAAATGGTTACCACAGTGAGCTCCTGATTTCAACTGAGGCATCCATGGGACATATCAAGGCTGAGAGAGAATAGTCACTGAAAACGAGAGGAGGAGATGTTTATGCACCAATGGATCCAATGCAGGCAAGTTAATAATAATCCTTGCATTTGATACAGCACAGTATTGCACTGCATAAATATCTTAAAGTGCTTCCCCGAACTTTCTACAAAAAGTAGGACTCTATATTTTGTTGGCAAATGCGGCAGCCAATTTGCGCACACCAACATCCCACAGAATAGCCATTGAAGGATGACTACCTGGCAGATACAGTCTACACTAGGCAGAACACAGAAGTTGTCTAAAACAATAGGAAGACGAATTTTACTGTGCAAAAAAATAACTTTCAAAGGAGGAAGCCACTGCAAAATCAAGATGGCATTTTGAAAGTTCACATAGTAAGATTATTTATGGCCTTTGGATATCAGAGACTCAATTGAAATAATTTACACTCAAATGCCATTACCTTAAACCTGGGAAATATAAATTTAGTTGATAAAGAAAAGACCTGACAGACGGTGATAAATCTGTGCATGCCCCAGCAGATGTCTCTCGGGACAGGAACAAACATTCAACGTTTGTCTGCAATTCATTTCAACCAACCCAATTTTTGTTTCAACAATAAAAGCTTGGAAATGTTTACGGTGCAAAAGAGAGTATCTGGGAGTCTGGAGCTCATATCTCATTACTGTTTGAATACTAAATTTCCTTTCAGTGGTTAAGATACCTCACCTCCTCACCCCCTAAAAAAAGTGATAGGACTTCCTTTGCCAGGATTTTTTTTATATTGTGTATTATATATAATAATAATCCTTGCATTTGATATTGCACTTTTCATGTCTTCTAGATGTTTCAAAGCGCTTCGCAGAATATGCTGTACAGTGAATTGACCGTATATTTGTGGGCGAAACACTTGAAACATCAAGTGTAGTAACTGTTCTTTAAGGCAAATACCACAGCCACTAGGTGCATAGTTAAGTCCCATAAACAGCCAGAAGTTGAATAACAAATTTAGCCTGCAGGATTGTCATTCAATTTATGGCTGTTTTGTGGGACACTGCTTTGTGCAAAAATGGTTGCCGCATTCACCCACCAAACACACATCATGTAGTACATTATGTGAAGTGGTTTGAGGCGTCCGTCCGATATGAAAAGGACTGCACCAAATTTGAAGAATATTATTACTGTTGGCCAGTACCCCAGGAGAAACTCCCTTCTCTTGTTCAATAGTGTCATGGGACTCAGCAGTCTGGAAAAATTGGACCTGGGATTGTCTAAATCCTTCCACTCTATTTAAATACTGTAATTTATTTTCAAACATCCCTCTTATTTCCCCCCCATCCGCAGTTGATTATTCCAACACTTATCAGTCAAAGAAAATATTTTTCCCAATGTAAAATTCCTATTCATAAATTTTAAATTAGGTCCAATTTTCCTGGTTTAATGTGAAGTAATATTCCGGGTTTACCCAGTCCATATTGTTTAATGTTTCACAATCCTCAAGGAGGTTCCCTTGCCAACCGACTTGTTTCTGTACCGTGGAGATTAAGCTCTCCTCATCTTTTTCCTGTAGCAAAACCCCTCTAAAGCTAGTGAAGTTTGCCATTGCAAACACAGCCTGGCAAGCTTCCCACTGCTTTTCCAGCTAAGACCACCCTATCCATTAGGGCTTTGGCTTGCGGAGTTAGCAGCACAGGATCGACTCAATTCTGATATTCCATTGTGAGGCAATGGAGCCTGCTCAGCCCCAAGGCGACATCGCTTACCTCCTATAGAGGAGAGTAATCACATCATTCTCTTAACCACAAGTCGAAGGAATATAACCCAAATCCACCTTGTCTTTCATCATAACTAAGACTCCACATCCCCGGCATTAATCTAAACTATTTCACCACCATCCCCACTGCCAAAAATCAATCGCTTCCTCCAACGCTTCCTGCATCTCGGCAGCGTAACGAAAGGGCATTTTTTTTAAAATAAAAAGCCAAAAATAAACAAGCGGTACTCTTGCCCAAACTTATCGAAGTGCCACCGATTTAACTACCTCCAAAGCCTCAGCCAAACTGCAGGCGTCAAAGAGAACCTTTTAAGGCTGAACGAGCTCAGGAAAGGGACGATAACGGCAACTGGATTTGAAAGCAGCCGCAAGCGCGACCTTTCTGGACAAGTTGTGAATGAGNTTTTTTTCTCTCCTCCTTTACTACCAGTTTCCTTTTTTAAACAGTGGCATGGGTTATTGGACTAGTGACAGCGCATTCCCCATTGTTCTTAAAGAACTGTGGTTACATCCTGACTATAATTCACTGTTCCACAGGGACTAACGATAACGATCTTTCCCACAAGTATAATGCAGTTACGAGGTGCACAAAAAATGAATTGTACACAATACCACTATCAGCGCTGTCAGGACAGGTTGTTACCTTTGCTTTTTAAAAATAAAAATAAATATCCTTCGGGGCAAATTGTTTCCACAAACAACTGGTACCTATGTTTTACCTCACCTCCATTTTATGGGGGGAAGTGGGGGGGGCTTTTTTTAAAAAAAATACTGATGTTACAAAACAAAAGTCCAAATGCAACACATTTGCTGGGACGGACCTCGAAAACATTGTCAGGGTTAAAAAGATTAACCCACACAGACTGAACGACTAGATTAATATCAATTATTTGCGCTGTGAAGTGGCTTGCGGTCATTATACAATCACGCAGAAAACTTTTGACGCCAGCAATTCCACACCGCAGTAAATAACACTAATAATAATAAAGAGAAAAGGGATATTAAGGCATAAGCGGCAGGCTGCAAAACTTTCAAAGGGGACGGCGGGGGGAGGGGGGGGGGGACAAGAGTGGGAAACATTTACACTAAAAAAAACTTCACTCCAATGTGTACAAAACAAAACTTGAAATGTCAAAACACCTTCACCCTCCAGTTCCATTTGCGAAGAGATTGAGCAATTAAAATGAACACATAGACCTGTTCCCTTCCTCCACCACCAAACACCCACCCGCCAGAATAAAATAAAACACGCGGGTACATTACGTCTCCCGCGAAAGCTTCACTTATCCCCGCAATTTAGTGATTTTATTTGAATATCTGGATCGAATCGATCAGTCAATCAATCGATCGATCCCTTCACAGAAAGAATGAGGCACAGCAAAAAGCCAATGCGCACACTGTCGGGTGTGGGGGGAGCTTCAGCGATCCTCAAGACTTCAGCGTTTACCGAACTGAAGGGAATATGATCAATAATCGAATTAACAACAATAATTATAAGGAGAGCCCCGGCATTCGGTGCAGCGCCTTATCACGTCTTCGCGAAGTCTCAAAGCGCTTCCACGAACAGACTGTAAAGTGAATCGACCGCGTCTTATATTATATATAAACACACACACACACATATATATATATATATGAGCTTTATATGTATATATATATATATATATATATTAAATTAAACTGTGCTCCCGGGTGGGGAGGAGGAGAGTGAAGGGAGGGGTGGGCCTAGTGGCTGCTTCGAACCCCGGCTCTCGAGTTTGGCTCAGCCTTGAGCGACCCCCACCCCCCGGGTTTCTGGGTGCACGTTAGGCCTGTGGGTGGGTGGGTGTGTGGGCGTGAGGGAAGGGATCCTCTTTACAAGGCAAATAGGTGTGGGGGGGGGGGGGAGAGAGAGGGGGAAACCCCGCGGGGGTCTGGGGCCCAGATACCCCCTCACAGCCATTTTATTTACAAACTGTCCCCCCCCCCCCCCCCCAAACCGCACCGCACCGCACCCACCGCCATTAACAGTACTCACTCTTGGGTTCGGTCCGTCCCGCGTCCGCCAGGAGCAGGAGGAGGGTCAGCAAGCCCAGCGCCGCCGCTTTCATCCCCATCGTCCCGCGGCCGCTGCAAAATCGAGCCCCAGGCTCCGGGCCTAGGCCTGGCGAGTGAGTAGCCGACAGTCTGACACCCCCCAAACACACACACACACACACACAGAGAGAGAGAGAGAGAATTTCTCACACACACACACAGAAAAAGAGAAAGATATAGAGGGTATTTATATATATATATATATATATAAATAAAATATATATATATAATAATAAAAATCCACACACACACAAACACAGGCTACAAGACTCCTTCTCCTCCTCCTCCTCCTCCTTCTTCTTCTCCTTTTTTTTCCCCAAAAAAAAAAGTCCAGAATAAAATCTTCCCGGTGAATAAATCTTCCTCTCTCCCCCCCCCCCACCCCACCACCCACCCCCCACCCACTCCCCACCCCCAAAAAAAAAAGCCTTTTTTTTAATAAGTTAAAAGTCGTCGCTTTGCAGCAAAAGCGGTCAAAAGTGGAACGAGTCCTTCACGTTGTCCCATTTGAAAACATTTATAAAACACAAACCCCCACACACACACACACACACTACTACTACTACTACTACTTTTCTTCTTTTTCTTTTTCTCTTCTCTCCTCTTCTTCTCTCCTCTTCTCTGCACAAAAAAAAAGTTGTTTGGTTCGGTTGCTTTGTGGAGTTGTTGGGGGGTGAAGATTCAGTTGGAAGTTTTTTGTTGCCTTGTGTCAAGTGGTGAGAAATGGGGGGGGGTTTGGGGGGGGAGAAGGAATGCAGAAGGTTTCACTTGAGGGGGAAAAGTTTTTTCTTCTGAGAGGGAGAGGGAGGGAGAGAGAAAAAAAAGAGAAAGGTTCCTTTTTCCCCCACCAAAGAAAAAGTTGGCAAATTGCTTTGCAAATGTTCTTTTTGTTTGTTTGTTCTTTTCTTCTTCTCTTCTTCTTCTTCTTCTTCTTCTTCTTCTTCTTCTTCAGGTTTTCAGGTGAAAAAGTTGCAGCTTCTCTTCCATTCTTCGCTCAACTGCAAAGAATCCTTCATTTCATTTTCTTTATACCAATTTCTCTCTCTCTCTCTCTCTCTATTCCCCTCCTTCTCTTTCCCTTTCCCTCCCCAGACACACACACAAAAAAACCTCCCAACTCTTAGTCCTCCCCACTCTCTTATTGGCAGCACAAAAAGAGGAAGGATGAAATAAAAATGATACAATAAATAAAAACTTGTAAGTCACCCAACAAACCAGAGGCTGAACAGCAATATCCTCCTGACACAAACCCCCCACCCCCCCAAAAAAAAATATTGTTCCAGCTGATCTTCCTTTGAATTTTCCTTTCTTATTTTCCAAACAGGATTGATTCTCTTTGGCCTCCAGATGAGGGATATTCCTCCAATGTTTGTGTGTGTGTGTGTTTGAGATAGATAGAGAGACAGATAGATATTTATTCCAAAGTCCAACTCTCCTCCTCCTCCTCCTCCTCCTCTTGCTCTTTCTCCCCCCTAAGAGAGAGAGGAGAGGGAGGGGAGAGAGAGAGAGAGAGAGAGGGGTAAAAATAGTTGAACAAGTCTTTTTAAATTCTTCCCTTCTCCTTGACTTCTGATTAACTTCGAATATACGTTCAATGCAAATGGATCAGATGATGTCCCTCAAGGCAGCAAAGTGTTCAGCCACAGCCTTCCTTCCAACTGTAGTCTCTGCCTCTTTGGATTTCAATGCATTTTTCCAACTGATTCTCTCTCTTTCTGTTCCTCTCGAAATATATTTTCAGGTTCTTCTCCTCTTTCTTCAACCTCCTTCCTTCCTCAGCTTGGTCTCTCTCTCTGTCTCTGTCTGTCTCTTCTCTTCTCTTCTCTTTTTTGGGGGGAAGCCCCCCAAAAAAGGTGGTGTGGGGGGGGAGGAGGGGGGGGGGGGGTTGGAGGTGGAGGAGGCAAAGAGAGAGAGAGAAAAAAAATACAGCAATTTTTTTTCTTTGATTTTTTTTTCCCCCACCACCAAAAAAAATTAAATGAAGAAAGAGAGAAATATGGGTGGGGGGTGTGGAGGGTGGGCGGTGGGTGGGGGGTGGATTTAAATCAAGAAGAGCAATCCGTGGATCTGGAGAGAGAGCCTTGAACCATCACTGTGAAACTTCTTCTGATTGTAGCGAGTAAACAAGCGTCGCCAGACTGAGAGGGGGAGGCACGGGACACGGGGAAAACATGCACTGGCTCATCCAGCCTACATGGACTGGACTGGGACTGGGACTGGGAATGAGTGGGTGGGTGGGAGGGTAGGTGGGTGAGTGGATGTGTGTGTGTGTGTGTGTGTGTGTGAGTGAGTGGGTAGGTGGGTGGGTGGGTGAGTGAGTGAGTGAGTGGGTGGGTGTGTGGGTGGGTGAGTGGGTGGGTGGGTGGGTGGGTGGGTGAGTGAGTGAGTGGGTGGGTGGGTGAGTGAGTGAGTGAGTGAGTGAGTGAGAGGGTGGGTGGGTGAGTGAGTGAGTGAGAGGGTGGGTGGGTGAGTGAGTGGGTGGGTGGGTGAGTGAGTGAGTGAGTGAGCGAGCGAGTGAGTGAGTGAGTGGATGAGTGAGTGGGTGGGTGACCGTGAGTGAGTGGATGAGTGAGTGAGTGAGGGACAGAATGAGAGAGAGAATTTGATCTCCCTGCTTCGCCCCCACTGCCCTCCATCCTCCTGACCCCCCACCCCCACCACCGCCGCCCCCAGCTCAGGTTTGTCCAGCGCCTTGGGACGTCCTCCCGACGTGAAAGGTGCTATACAAATTGTAATTTTGTTGTCATCGTTGTTGCTGTAAACAAATAACACAGAGAATCATAGAAAAATTGACAGTATATACACACACACACACACATACATACAGAGGTCATCCAGTTAACCCGTACGCAAGCTTGCCTCGCTGGAGCTCTCCCCTCCAGTCAGACTAAAGCAGCAGGAAACTTGGCAGGCTGCGTTCCACCACGGCAAGCACAAGTTTATCGCTTGTGTCCAGAACTCATCGTTTCCATTTTTTTATTTATTCATTTTCAAAAATTGACTCCTTCATTCACAAGAAAACATTGGCATTTTTACAGCACCCATAACAGCGAAATATCTCGACTGGCTTCTCGGTAAATTAGGGTGGGTATTTCTTGAGAATCAACGGACTTATCCCCTCTCGGCTGTTGTTTTTCAAATGAAGCCTGGTTATCCTGACATATATTTAAAAACAATAATCCTTGGATCCGTTACAACGTCTTTCACATCAGGAGGACGTCTCAAAGCGCTTCACGGGATTTACTGTTAAGCGAAACGACTGTATGTATTTTGTAGGTGAGCGTAGCAGACAATTTGCAAACAGCAATGTCACATTTCTTCCAGTCTCTGTTTGCAGTTGGTTCCGTTATTTTATTTCATTTGCTGCTTTGTTTTTCTAAATTGCAGATGTCCCGACATGGAAGCCACTGCACTGCACGAATGTAATTTGTTGTTGTTGTAAATTTGAGTTCCTGACAGACATGCAAATATCACCGAACTTCGCAAGGTCTGTAATTACCTTAATGCTAATTATCATGTGAGCACAACGTGTCAGATTTTGTCATGCGCTTTGAGACATCCTCCTGACGTGAAAGGCACTATATAAATGTAAATCGTATTGTATGTCTTGCGTTTGTGTTATCTCCATATCACAGAGATACAAAGCTATTGTGGAAGGACCAACATCATCTCTCTACGTGGAGATATTTCACCAAACAAGACGTCCTTCACCTTCTGTTCCTACTATGTCCCCCCCACTCCTCCCCTCAGCCATGGCAGTCAGATTAACTCCTGCCTCTCCTGTACATTTGAGGTACACAACATCAGATATAATGCTAAATACAAAGGGACCTATTCCTATCCACGTTGGTTAATACACACAAGTGAACATTTTAACTATCCTTTTGAACAAAGCGTTTTTTGTTGTCCGCCCTTTTGCTGTGAGATTGCAGAGCTGGAAAGTGAGATACCTCTTGTCGAATGCCTCCTCATGTGATGTTCAACCACACATCTGTTATCATGGGGGTTTCTGGCTGATTGATGTTCCCCAGTGTAAAACACTAGGGCAAAAGCAGCCTGTTCAGGGGAGACTCCCTCAGAACAGTTGGGTGGTGTGGACACCAATGATAAGAGCTTTTTTGTGTGGATTGTAAAGAGGGCCGGCTTGATGGGCTGAATACCATTACAGCAACAAGTTGTTTCTTAGAATTATAGAAAGTTTACCACACATCAGGCTTTTCGTCTCATTGTATCTGTGCTGGTGTTGGCTCCCTGATTAGCGCTACCTACTCTCATCCCCCTTTCTCCTTAACTAAATGTAAGAATATGCTATGGATCCAACAGGAAGATGTTCCAAGAGCCCTTGGACATTAAACCATTGAGTAACACTAATGAAGATTAAGTCACATAACATTACAACAACAACAAGATTCCATTTATTGAGCGCCTTTCACGTCGGAAGGACGTCCCAAGGCGCTGTACAGTTGGGTCAGGACCCGACCAGGGGGGAAATGGTGAGGGGAGGGAAGGGAGGGAGCGAGGAGGGGGTAGAGAGTCGAGAGGGGAGCTGAAGGCACGGTCAAAGAGAACATTATATTCCAGCTTGAATTTTTAGTTTAAGATTGTGAATGTTTTGAGGACTTGCCACTGTCATTCAACTCATGGCTTTGTGGGACATTGCTGCGCGCAAATTGTCTACCTTGTTTGCCTACAGACACAATCAGTTGCAGTAAATCCTGTGAAGCGCTTTGAGAGGTTTCGATGACATAAGGCTCTATATCAAATGCAAAGGATTATACTATTACTCCCAAAATCACTTTTTCTCCCAGGATGTCTTAAAACATTACGCAAAGTCAGCTCATAAGCTGGTAGATAACAGTTTTGATGTTACTTTATCCAGAAAGGAGTAAAAAAATAAAGAAATGCAGGTCAGAATTATCACCCTCAGGAATAAGTCTGTACTGAACACCAGGGATGAAACTTGACACATCACTGTGAGGGTCTCTCGCTGACTGTGTCTGTGAATCTTCACGATCACTTCTCCTCTCTGCTCGATATTCTCCCAGAATAATATTCATTGCATTAGGTTGTGTTGGAGTGCTTCGCAAATTCACCGTAAAGTGTAGCAACTGTGTATTTTTATAGCTGTGTTTCTGACCCGAAAGAATGCTAATGGGAGGACAAGTTTTGTGGCGTGGGAGTTAAGAAATGTCGCCACCTCGTGGACTCTTAACTCGCCAAACCAATTCAACCCAGATTTGCATACTTCGGAACAGCTTGGGATCATAAGTCGGGAGATAGGTTCCCTTCAATCCCTTTGCTTCCTTTCTAGCAATCAGAAGCTGACAACCTTAAGGATGCCTTGGAAGTAGAGCAGGCTGTAGAGCTAAGAGCACTAGCCTCCCACACTCCGGGACAGAAACAGAAATTTTCTTAACATAATATCTATGTCCTCGGTACCTGTTTTCTTGTTGCTTTTTAAAAAATTATTAATCCCAATTTGAAGCTCTTTCCTGTATCCCTTAATATTTTTACTGCTCGCACGCTTTTCTGGCTCCCCTATTGAATGATGCTATTGATCCAATCTCAATGTCCAATCGTGGGAATGTATTCCAAATCCTAACAAAGCTTCTTGAGCAAAGAAACGCTTTCTAAACTCTCCTTTTTTTCTGTTGGGGATAATTAAGGGAATTTGGTTCGAAGCCAAGACCAGACAGATGGATAAAGACTCCTCTCTCACCACACCCCCTCTGTGAAAGTTTTAAGAGCCAAGGTGAAATTAGTTTGAGCAAGCCTCATCCATTGGTCATGAGCGAGAGGACAAATGGTCCATAACTCAGCATTAAATGGCACTAAATTGGCAGCCCCACTTACAGAGGCCACATAGATCACTGGGCAGGGAAATGAAAACATTGTTCTCAGATGATAAATACCGCAGAATGTACAAATTTAAAAAAAGCTTCATCATGTACAATTTGTATTGTGGTCACCCTCACCCCAATTGATTGAATCTCTGGAGAGAGGCAGGGAGAGAGGGAATAACTGTAGGAAATAAGATTCCAATTCCAAGAAGATAAATCCCTGGGAAATTTCTGCTGCACCCTAAAAATACGATTTAAAAATTCAAAGTTCTTAATTTAACATTAGAATCAAACGTTATTCCTATTTTAAAAGTGGAATAGCTTTACTTGTGTTAAGCGTTGACTGGCTTTATTCCTGGCGCTCCCAAAGCACTCCGCTCTTTCCCCGAGCTGGGGGTGGGAGACGAGGGGAGTGAGGAGAGGAAAAAGATCAATAGCACGGTCAAAGAGCTATATCTGAAGACGGACCTTGAATGAGGAGAGGGAGGGAACGAGTTGGAAGGATTGTCTGCGTGGAGGTCAAGAGAGTGGAGGGCAGAAAGGCTGATAGCAAACCAGTTCAAGTCCCCACTCAAATACAAAAAAGACTTAGATCCTGTTTAAATTAAAGTGTAAATATAACAAACGCTTGTGCAGGACCCAGGAGATAGGAATAGCGTTCAACCAATGCAGCTGTACAAGAATCATAATGTGGCTCATAATGGTACCTTAGATCAAAGCAGCAATATATACTGTTACAATAGTAATCCTTGCATTCGATAAAGCGCCTTATCATGTCGTCGTTGAGCAAGAGTACAACCGACTGACACTTAAATCTTTAAGTACCGTTTTTGTAAACTCTGCAGAAAGTTAAGGAAGCACGAAATACATTGATTTTTGAAACACTTTTATTTGTAGTGCCTCAACCATTTCCTGCTTATTGTACAAGTTCTCTAATGTGGCAATTTACCTTATTAAGACCATTATAGCATCCTGGGGTACAGATTCACCTTCTGTTAACTCACCCCGTGATCATTATTGATCGTTAGTCCAGACAAAGTGCTGCCAGGCTACAAGATGTAGTCGAGCCTGATCCTGTACTGACTGAATTCCACACTCACGTACCTTCCTGTGCAGCTTTGTGGTGGGGATGGAGATTAAAGAGTGATGCAGAGCAGAAACCCTGGCTGTTCCTTCCCACCTTCCTTCCCCAGTGGGTGCCAAAGCCAATTGTAAGTGCCCTGACCTGATTTCTACAGCTGTGACAGCTGAGATGAACAAACTCAGCACAGACCCAAGGATCAAATCTGGGAACGTTGAGGAATATATCATCAATTTAACACCAAACAGTGGATTTTGCTAATAGCCAATGGGACATGGGGCTGCTCTCTGCATTACCATTTGCTCTTTAGTAGCTCACACAGGGACCCTCTCCACAACTACCTATCCTCCTCTATCTTCTCAGACAATGGAGTCTGTGTTGTCTTAACAACCAGAGCTGTTACTTAAATTAAAGCAGATCTGATTAGCAAGCTCGAGCACTTCAGGACACCTTGTGTGCACAGGCACTCACAGCAGTCAATAAACCCGAACCCATATGGTGCAGTTATAAGAAACAACGTGTTCAATGAGATTACCACTGACTTTTTTTTTGTGTAGGGGGGAGTGGGGGGGAAGGAAGAGAGAAAATCTCTAGTAGGAGATAGTCTAACCAAATATTGGCATACGTAAGTCACTATGTTAACACAGCCGACCATCGTCTGAACTTCATTCTTCTCTCCTCGTTGAACACTCGCTGTTCGAGCAGGCAGCACAGTCAAACTCCTAGACATGAGCAGCTCATCAGAGGCTCGGCTCGGAACCTCAATCCATAGCAGTGATGCTACTTGGGGTTGATCTCGTTAATTCCAGTTTGGGGAGGGGGGCTGGGGACGGAAAGAGACGAGGGGGTTGCTGAAACCTCCAGTTTGGGATTAGTGCATGGAACAAACACTCCAGGTGTTGTTTGCGTTGGTCACCTCAGTTTGGGAAAGATTCGGATGAAGAGGATCATGCTGATGAAGATGAAACAGACAAACACGAGCATGAGCCAGAGCAGCCAGTTGACAGATTTCTTGGTGTGCTGCTCCAGGCGCTCTGACTCCACCTTCAGTTTCTCGAAATTCTGGTCGGCCATCCTCATCGACTGAGTCAGTGTCTGTGCACAGTGAAAAGAAAAGATTGCGGTGAGGCTTGCTGTCAGTTTGACATGAGTCTCACAGCTTCATCTTCACGCATTGAAGAACAAGTCAAACAAGGAGCTAGTTTAACGTGTAGTGATACAAAGGCAAACACAGAGGCTAATCTGCACCCACTCCGACCCCTGCACAGAGATGAATTAGTTCACTTTCTCGGTGTGGCCTTGGATGGCCAAATGGCCTCCTTCTGCGCTATAGATTTCAGTGCACAAAGTCATGGATGAGAAATTGGTGGAGATTCAAGAAGGAAATGGGGGAATACAAATATTAATGGATAATAATCCTTGCATTTGATATAGCGCCTTATCACGTTTTCAAGATGTCTCAAATCGCGTCACAGAATATACTATAAAGTCTAGTGACTGTGTATTTTGTGGGCAAAACGCAGCAGCCAATAAGGCAGGGAAATGAAATTGGTGAGGTTGTGGAGTCCTGTAGCTCAGTGGTTAGAGCACTCGCTTTGCAAGCGAGAGACCCGAGTTCAATTCCCGGCAGGTCAGGGCGAAACCTCGGGCAAGTTTCCTTACTCCACACAGAGCCTAATAATAATCCCTCCAAAACCAAAACAATAATAAATTGGTCATTTCCAATCTACGACTGTTTGTGGGACATTGCTGTGCGCAATTGGCCGCCGCGTTCGCCTACAAATATACAGTCAATTCACTTTACAGTGTGTTCTGTGAAGCGCTTTGGGACGTCCTCCCGACGTGAAAAGCGCTGTATCAAATGCCAGATTATTTGGTGGTCGTGTGTGTTGCCATGGAATGATCCGTGGTGGAGTGAGCTCGATGAACCAAATGGTTCTAAATTCCTATAGAGATCTCCTACTGTACCTGATTATCTTGCTTGATGACGTTCTGAGCGGCTAGCGTGTTGTTCTTCAGGTTGCGAGCGAGGCTGAGCATCTCCTCAGCAAGTCGTTCCTGCATGTTGTTGTGGTGATTGAGAACTGCGTCCATCTCGGCAGATGACTGTTTCTCATCTTCAGGACCCCTACAGGCAACCGGTAAACAAGCAACGTGAACTTACAAAATACAGTCAATTTAATTATATATAATCACAATATATTCTGTGAAGCCCTTTAAGACGTCTCAACGACGTGATAAGGTGCTATGTCAAGTGTAAGGATTATTAATATTACTACACAGTGGCTGTCACATAGGATGAGGTCGCAATGTGCTTCACAGGGACATGGTGAGTCACTGAGCAAGGTGAGAAGGAGACGTGGGAAGAAGGTGAATAAAACTACAGAGGCAGGTTTTTTTTAATTAAAGGAGGATTTTGAAAGCAAGGAGAGTTTGCACAAGGCAGAGGGGTTCCGTGAGTTCACACATGAAACTACCACAAAAAAACTTTGCTTACCTTCGATGTCTCAGGCCAGCGTTGGCAGAACCTAGAACAAGAATACAGTAGAAAATTGGACTCTTCTGCGATCCACAATTCAATTTGATCAACTCGTTTAATTTCATGATGATCGACTAATCTCGTTGGGTCCCTCCCGTGCAGTTCCCTCCCTTAGTGAAGGGCAACAGCAAATACTCAAGTCAGTGGGCCAGAGTGCCAATACCTGGTATTGAAAGGTGAATCTGTCAAATAGTTCACTCGAGACAAGAAAATCATGTTGGTCAAGAAGCAGATGAGAAAATGAATTAGTCTGTGATATTTACTTACCACTGGAAGTCGCTGATGGCTGAAAGAGAATTAATATGAAAATCAGAGAGGCCTTCCTTAATCTTTTTGCAGTCAGTTATTTTTCTCCCTTCCAGAGACCAAAATCCTCTCCGCCTGGAAAAAAACGTCTACTCAAAATGAGTGCATGAGTGGCCCAGGAACCTTTCCATCCCATCAGGCCACGACTCAGTCTATCCCCACCAATGCACATCTGGCACCACAGCTGGCATAAACACGCTCCCTACCTGTGACCCACAGTGTTGAGTTCTACCATCAAAAACATGTCAAGGCCCTTCACATATTCAGTTGCTTTGAATATAAGCAAACATAGCAGTTCCAACAACATTCTCCCTCTCCCTTCTCACCTCCCTCTCCCTACATGCAACATTGAGATGAATGAGTGATCAATTTGTATTTTGGGCAAAGTTGGGATGAGAAAGGAAATCATCCAAGGGCAGAAGGAGAAATTCTCTGCTCCGCTGGGTTACACAAACATTATTCATCTAGTAGAAAAGGACAGTAACTAAACGGGACATTAAAGAGTTAAAATAACTGCTTCACACGTGATCTGACTTGACACCAACAGGACTAGATTGGAAGAGACCTGTGCCTATTGAAGACAAAGACTTACCAAACTGAGCAGCTCACTCCTCATCTCGCCCGTATATCTGGCCTGCGTCTTCAGGTGGACTGTTTTTGTGGCCGATGTCCTTTCTTTCCCTGTGGTGGGTGTGCGCCCTGGAGCTAGGAACTGATTAGCCAGGGCCTTCTCTGCAGGATTTGGCTGAAAACGGGATAAAAAGTCGAAAATAAAATTACAATAACTATTCCGATCGTGCTCTGGTTACAATTTAAAATTTTAATTTTGCTTTCACCCCCCTCTCTCCCCAGAGACATTCACCAAGATGGAAAATTGTACCCCACAAGATACTGTTTAAGAAGAGCACCGAAACATTACAATGCAAAGGCATCCTTCTTACCAGCTTCTCAGCCTCCAATAGTCCTTTCATGAACTCCACCTTTCGGGTATACTCATTCAGCAACTCAGGGGCAGGTTTGCTGCTTGCAATAAACATAACAATTACCCTCACAAACCAATGCCATCTTAACACAAGAGTCAATTCAATCACTATTCTAAAAGAAGCAGAGACTTCTGAGTTTCCCCTCACTTCTGACCAAAGCATGTCATTGCCATGTCTCCGCCTCCCTACAACCTTTAACTACAGATGAGGAAATGAGGCTTGATGTTTAGCAAATTAACTCACTCAAACTCTCCGACTGTAGTATATTTGATGCAGCATGTGAAGCACATTTCATGGGTTAAGCACAACTTGGGCAAGACCAGTGTGTATTGAAAGTGCCTAATTACACTCATGTGTGCAAATAGTCACAAGAAGAAGGCATGGATGTTCTTGTAGAAGAGAGGCAGATACTTTTAGGAAGTGAAAGAAATGGGCAAAAAGATAAAAATCCAGTCTTGTGTGCAGGTTTCTCACTACAATAACTCCATGCCAATTGTTATAATACAGAAGACCCATTGTGAGGAGATAAATGAAACACTGTTCAAGAGATCATTACCTGATGTGTTTTTTTAGTTCAATCAGCATTTCCTGAAGGGCACCTACAAACTGCAGAAAAAGGACAGCAATTACTAGAACAAAACTCAAATTGCACTCAATATAAATAAAGCTGGCCTTTTTTTCAAAACAATCTTTATCAAGTTCCAAAATGATTGTTCCCTCTGTTAATTTCAGCAGAGGAACAAGATAATGCTCTAAAATACCACGATCATAATTTACTCCCTGTTGAAGTAGCCAATATTAGCCCTGCTCCATTGCCTCTACGATAGAACTTACTTGAAGCATGGCTCCTAGTTATAAATTGCACATTCGTGGTCAGACTCTGCAGGATCTAGGACACAGGTCCAGTCCCCGGAAATCTACAGGAATCAAATTCAGTGCCTATCTATTCAATTGATGCAGGAAACAGAGGTAAGAAAAATTCATTCTTCTCTCCCTTTCAGGAGAAGTCATTTTAATGTAATGTGAAATGACTGTATCGTGTAGGCGCACAACAGCCAATTTGTCACACAAACAGCTGTGAAGTGAATCACTGAATTCATGCACCGGGTAGTTCCGCAGACCACCATAGCAAAACTCCCATCACTTTTCAAATAGTGTGATGGGATCTTTAACGTCCACATTAACCATAGTTAATGAATAATAATAATAATAATAATTTGGTCACTCAATCCACGACTGTTTATGCGACACTGGTGCGCGCAACTGACTGCCGCGTTTCGCCCACAAAACACACAGTCGCTGCCCTTTGCCGCGTATCCCGTGAAGCGCTTTGAGGCGTCTCAAAGACGTGATAAGGCTCTGTGTCAAATGCAAGGAGTTCCTGTAGCTCAGTGGTAAGAGCACTCGCTTTGCAAGCGAGAGACCCGAGTTCAATTCCAGGCAGAGGGCGAAACCTTGGCCAAGTTCCTTACTCCACACAGAGCCTAATAATAAACCCTCCAAAACCAAAAACAATAATAAATTGGTCAATTTCAATCTACGACTGTTTGTGGGACATTGCTGTCCGCAATTGGCTGCCGCGTTCGCCCACAAATATACAGTCAATTCACTTTACAGTGTGTTCTGTGAAGCGCTTTGGGACGTCCTCCCGACGTGAAAAGCGCTATATCAAATGCAAGGATTATAAGGGTTATTATTGTACATTATAATACAGCTCTTGATTTATCGTGTGATTTATCCACACCTATAATTTTGCACCTCCCCTCACACACACACACACACACACACACCGAGGACCAGAATGGACTTAAAAGTTCTTCAGCTGAAAGGTTGTGGGTTCACACCGCCCGCGGGGCCACAGGGGTGGAACCCACAACCTCTGCAAACTCACGGGCGAGAGGGTCAGCGACCAAACCAAACCAAACCAAACCGACACCCAACCGAGTGCCACATCACATCGGCAGAAGGGGGGGGAGGGTCACAGGAGGAGAGGCCTCGCTGATGTGGCGCTGCCCACCCTTCCCCTCTCCACCCCCACCCGCGCACCCTTATCCCCGATCACCTTCTCCAGCCGCCAGTCCTTGTCGCTCCGTTTCTCCGCCGCCATAGCCTCGCAGGTCACCAGGAGCCGCAAGAAGTTCTTCTCCAGCCTGGAGGCCGCCATCTTGTTTGCCGACGTCACTTCCGCCGCCGAGTCGCGGCGTCTCCCAGTGACGGGCCTGACGCCGGGAGCAGCGCCACCAGCCGGCAGGGGCGGTAATAGCACCTCACTGCCAACCCAGGACCCTGTCCTGCTGGAAGGGTGTGATGTAAAGGCAAATTGTTGTGGCATTGGCAATCAATAACAATAATAATAATAATAATGTGGTCACTCAATCCACCACCGCCTGTGCGCCAGTGGCTATATATTAAAAAAAATACGCCGTTGATCCGCTTGAGACGTCTCGAAGACGCAATAAGGCGTTCTGATCAAATGCAACGATTATTATTAATATTGCTGTCCGGTGTACTGACTAATAATGCTATTATTATTATTATTATTATTATTATCATCATTCACTTGGTGACCTGCAAGTATACGGTGTATTTGCAGGCCAACAGGCGAACGATAATAATCTGTGCGTTTCGTACAGCGCCTTATCACATCTTCGAGACGTCTCAAAGCGCTTCGCAGAATACACTGTGAATCCTCTGCGTGTGCGTGTGTGCGTGTGTGCTGCTAAATTATAGGTGTGGATAAAATAAAAAACGAGAAAGGACTTTTTTTTCCATCTTTAACTAATGCACGTGAGGATTAAAACGGCATAGAAAAATTCACCACGGTTGAATGTTGTTTTTTATTTTTTACATAAAGTATCCATTTCCTGGTATTATTTTCACATTAATATTTGCAAGTGCTCCTCCACAGAAATCTGGAGTTACAGGCAATATGATTAATACAGATGGAAGACTCAAGTCATTGATGTGTCAAACCTTCATGCCCATGTATGGTTGACAAAGCGGGGAGAGGGAGAAATCTGGCTGGTGAACAGGGTTACATACAAAACAGGGTCCATCCGAGGACTAAAATTTTACCCAGTCTTAGCCCGTAAGATCACGTTGCCTTAAAGTTTAAGAGACGTTTTGGAGAATTCTTAAAATGTGCACTTAATTTGGAAGCCAGTTTGCTTTTAAGGGCTGCGGAAAGGCTTCCAAATTAAGACTGAACTTAAAGAGTCTGCCACAATCTTGGCGCAGTAATGTCCAACTCCATTTCGGACTTGTGATTTCACAGAGTCAATGGGGAGAGTCACCTGGAGAATTTCTTCCCCCTTGCACCATACCCTCCCGCTCATACCACCATATCATGCTCGCAATTAAGAGATTCACAGACATTAACCTTGAGTTCTCCCCCACCCCGGCATAGTGCACTGAAGGAGAAACCGCCCCCCCCCCCACTTGCTATTATGTGCTTTCCTTCAGTTCTTTAATACTGGTAGAAGACAATATGTATATCTAAACCACTGGATCTAAACCCGATTCATATCTACCATCGAGAGGTCTAGAGAGAAGCTGCAGAGATCACAGAATGGTTCATTGTTCTTCACACGGAGATACAACCCTTTAGTCCCTCAGTCACAACCTGGCCTATTTCACACATAAAGAGAATAAACTCTCACCAGCCAGGGAACAGGAGCTGGTTGATCAGGTGTTGGCGACAGTTATGCTGTATATTAACAGCTCGCCAGACCAGTTGTGCTGCAGAACATCATTAGGTAAAAGTGAACCAGCCTCACTGGTTTCTATCTCACTCCTTCTTCCAGGTGCAGAAGACTCTGGGAATGTATCCTGGTCACTCTCGTCCGTAGAATAACAAGGAATAAGTAATCTTTCATTAAAAAAAATACAGTGTTTCTGACGATTGTTCTATTTCTCAATTCACTTCTTTTCTTTAGACAGTGCTTGAAGACTTTGATTTTGACAAAGGAATATCTCAGAATCAGGACCCTCCCAGCACTCCCCACCCCCCCATCATCATCACAGCTTTGATCCTGTCCTCACCCAACATCCACCCATGACCTTCCAGCAGAGAGGGGAGAGGGGTCACTAGACCGCGATCAAGAGTTGGATTCCTCGCTGATGTCTTAAGGTTATGACTTCAAGCCCCCCATATTGGAAATTTGAGGCCGATGCTCTAATGCAGTGTTGGGGCGAGTAGTACTAAACTGAAGTCCCATTTTACTGTTCAGATGGATATTAAATGGCACTATCGGCAAAGAGAAGGAATTTGTCTCAGTGTCCTGGCCAACAAACCCCTTGGTAAAATTGGCCATTCACTTCATGATTGTTTGTGGGACAATGCTGTGTGCAAATTGAATGCTGCATTCACCTACAAATCCACTTCACAGTAACTTTAGTGAAACACTTTGAGATATTACAGGCGCTATATCAAACGCAAGAATTATTACTAATGTTTATTGGGCAAGCTAACTAATTGAATTAGTTAATTAGGGTCCTGATGATGAGACATATTAATACTATTCCTTCCCTAGCTATGGGATTAACAAGTGTCATTTTTTTTAAAAAAACTCACACACAAGGAGAAAATCTCATACACAGAAAAGCAAGATGCAGTTGGCTGGTCGCTTAACACTTAACATCAAAAAAGTCACATTCCTTTTTTAAAAAAATCTGTGGGGGAAGAACAAAAGTTTAAAAAGTGGAAGGAGATACATCAATATAGCAAAGAACACAGGAAATACTGACTGGAATTTTCCTGCAGCCTGTCAATCCACTAAACACTTAAGTCACCTTAAAATTCCAGAATAACACATTGCTGATTTTTAAATAGTGCAGGATTATTAACACGTTTTTCCGATGATTTTGGCAGTATATAAGGATGATTGCGTGTGTTAAAAGGACCGAGGCATGCGGGTCCTTTAAGTGGAGGAAGCCCATATGATAAAATTCCGTCCTGATCCCAAATCGGGTTGCGTTCTCATGGCTCATTTTTTTAAAAAAAATTCATTCATCTATTTCGGTTGCTGATAGCCCAGAGGACGAGTTCGGGAGTTCATGCAATTATGGCACAGAGAATAAATAGATTCGCCGAACAGCACATTATTCTATATCTTTCTTCCACTGGCTGATAATACTCATGGATTTTGATTGACAGGTCGCTGAATGCCATGTTATTAAATTTAACCCCCCCCCTTTTTAAATCCGCCTTATAACGCTGATTACACATTCTGTATTCTTCCCGCCCACTTCCCTCCCTCCCCCAACACCCCAGTTCGAGTGTCCAGCCAGCTGTATAAAGCGCCTCAAGACGTCCTCCCGACGTGAAAGACGTTATATGTAAAGATAAATCGCATTGCATCAGTTGTGTGGCCGAACAACAGTTGCTGCAAATGCAATGGTGCAGGATGTAACCATAGGCCAGTCCTGATCTGGAGAGTGTGCGTAAGCTTACGTGAATCCTCACAATGTGCTTTGAAGACGAGAGAATATGGTTGTTTCTGTCCTGGGACCTGCTCCCATACGTTTGGGATCTGATCAGCAGCGAGCAGACGAGTGGGTGAAGCAGAAACTGAATACTGAGTCGGTCAAATTGCACAGGTTGAAACAAACCGCTCCAACATTCTTCCTATATCTTCGCACATATGCAGCCTGGCTGGAAACAGGCAGAGAAGGGTCTGTTTCTGTTCACCAACGTTTAAGGATTTTATGGAAAAGATTCCAAAATTTAGCCTAAGGATTCTTGCCAGGAATTTGCCATTAGATCATCGAATGACAGAATCCTACAACACAGGAGGCCATTCGGCCCATCGTGGCTCTTTGAAAGAACAATTCAATTAGTCCCACTCTCATGCTCTTTCCCCAAAGCCTTACAGCTTTTTAAAAATCTTTTCAAGTATATATCCAATATATCCCTTTTGAAAGTTACTATCGAATCTGCTTCCCCCTCCCTTTTAGCCAGTGCGTTTCAGATGAGTCAAACCCTAAACTCCCAAGCAGATGGATTTCAAGAAGTGCGAGGCTGCTGATTCCCTGTCTATCCTCAAGGTGACAGGGTCGGGAGTGGGGGGAGAGATAAGGCTGTAATCCGCTGCCTTCTCCATATGCTGTGATCCTCTGTATGTCCAGCACATACCTCTTCTGTTGCACATTCATTTAAGATCCTTCTCTAGCCCCATCTCTTTAGCTTCACTCATTAATTTATATTCTATTTTATGAATAAGTAGCCTACAGAGCAACACACTTCCCCAGTAGAAGCAGAATCAATTTAAAAGGCAAGATAGATTCTTAAGAGGAGGATTAAGTGGAATTAAAAAATCTGCTATGAACTAATAATCTTTCAGAACAGGTTCAATTGGCCTCTCATATTCCTGTTCTCCTTTGTTTACTCTCAGTGTCTGAATGTAACGCAGGTTGCTGGGTTCTGGGTACAGAAGTGAGGAATGTTTAGTTAAGTGAAAAGGCGCAGAAAGATGCAGTTCGCAACATGCTAGAGTGGGAGGAGGGGGAAGAGAGGGTGGGGAGAGAGAGTGGGGGGATTTGATTGCAGTGATTTGAGATGAGGATTGTTCTCAGCTCCTGGAGGGTAACTGAAAAGAAGTATTTCCCCCTAAAACCGGGACACGCTCAGATTTCAAGGGAAAACGGGCAAAGCAACGGAAACAATAATGGTCTCGACAAGCAGGGAATGTGGCCACTCTGTAATCCTACGGTAGAAAGCAGCAAACTAAAAATTGCGTTAGAGAAGGAAGATGGGAAATGAACTGGAAAAGCAGGAGCTCCAGGATTCCTAAGGAAGTTGGACGTTGCAGCATCAGCCTTCGGTCGATGTTTCAGAGTTTCAATCCGAAATGAATGAAGGGAAGTTGGAATCAGACTGAGCCGCTTGATTCACCACCAAAGCCAGATGGCAGCGAGGTCCTTGGAAAGGTGGCTCTGCGTTATAGCCTCTTGCTCTTGACAATCCCGTTCCTTAGGTGTTTCCTGCGGGGACAAACACAGCGGGAAATCACGTCAGTGTTCCCATCCGATCAGGAAAGTAAATCCCGAAGAGCGAAAACGACTCTTGACCCAGCTGTACGGTAAAGGCTCTGGCAGTGGATGACCAGTTTAGCTACCCCCCATCCCGTCCAGCAAACTCAGCACAGACTGGGATCCAAAACCATGTTACTCCTGGTCCATTAGCTGCAGCTCTATCTACCTTTTGTATCAAACGTAAGTTTTTTTTCACATAAAAAAAGTGCAACGGTAACAGAATTAGAATCGATTTCAAAATAAATCTTGAGGTGCCCTGCAGGGCAGTGCTCTTATGTATCTCCCAGTGGCTGCTGCACAGACAGACAGTGGTCGGTCTTTCAGCCAAAGCTGGTGCGTCGGGTAAGTAGACAAAACAATTGCGGGAAGGAGATTTTCCTTATTTTTTTAACCTCCCAAGCTTGAATCAAATAACAAATCTATTCACACGTGTTATAGACTTGAATTTTAGGCTTTTTCTCTGTAAAAAAAAATACTCCTTTGGTTTGCCTTGTGAAACCTCGTACCCTTCTTTGTAACAGTTCTTGGAGTGAAGGTCGGGGCTTTTCTTGTCTGGGACCACAGGCTGACCCTCATCCTCGGGCTGACTCTCATCGATGTCGTATTCTCGGACGTCGTTTACCTCGTTCATTTGACCAGTCAGCACTTTCAGCGCTAGGAGGACAATGTACTGCGGGAGAACAAGGCAATTGGGTTGAGGTTGGATGTGGCTCACAGAGAAAAAACAAGCATAGTAGATGAGCCATGAGCAAAAGCAACGTGGACTTTACACAGTGCCTTTCATATCGGATACGTACAGGTTTACGAGCACTCAGAGACATTGGCAAGCAGTGGGTAAAGGAACCTTAAAAGGTTTTGAAAGCAGAGAGGGATAAAGAGAGAGAGAAGCAAAGCAAAGGTATTTTTGGAGTGAGCTTCAGAGGAGTGAAGGCGATTGATAGAGGCTGGAAGCAATGAGGAACTAGTAATAATAATCCTTGCATTTTATACAGCGCCTTATCATGTTGTTGACACATCTCAAAGAGCTTCACAGGATATACTTTTAAGGTGAATTGACTGTATATTTTGTGGGCAAAACGCAGCAGCCAATTGCGCACAGCAGTATCCCACACTGTCGTGGATTGAAGTGACCAAATTGATTGAATATATTTTGTGGACGAACTAGCTGTAAACTAGTTGGGGGAGTTGGGGGAATGGTGGGAACAGACAGGAAGAATACAGGGCTGGAGGGAGATGGTATTGGCAGGGAAAGTGAAAGAGTGAAGCAATTTGGATGTTCAAGTCAATGAATGTGTAACCAGGGAAACTGATGAGAATGGGAGAGGGGGAGGTGTGAATAACGGACGTGGTGTTATAGAGTTTGGTCGAATTGGGAAGTAACACATGCGTGTAGTTTGAGCCAAGTATTTGGATAAACTGAACCACATGCATTTTGCAGACACTGAAACGTTTTGCAAAAGACATTGGGAGTGAAGGCAAAAGCTTTAGAGCGCTGGGGTTGGTCTGAGTTTGTTGTATTTCTTCACCAATTCCTCAATAAGCAATCCCCAGTCGTACAAATGGACGACTTGTTCTCCCCAGTAAGTTGTCGAGATAAACTCTGAACAGGGCCCTGGCTCCCTCCCAACTTCCTTATCTATGAGCAGACAGAGAAACGTCCAACAGAGCCAGGCTCTGTGGTTGGACATAAGTGGGAATCAGGTACGCCCCCTCCCGCCCGAACACACACACACGTGAACATACACACGTGAACACACACACGCGCACGTGAACACACACGCACGCACACGAACACATACACTCACACGTATGTGAACACACAAACCTTTGTTGACTGCAAAGCACATCTCTGCCACAAAAAGCCAGGGAAGAGAGCACAGTGTGATGACATGAGACAGAACAGAAGGGGAGAAGCAGATAGACCGAGTCCAAATTACTCACCAGAAACCAATAGATATTCATCAGAGTCAGGGTAAGCAGGAGAATGTTGAAGAAAAAGTAGAAAGGAATATTGGGAACAGACTGCAGACTGGAGTGACAGGACGCGTACAACACCTTGAGGGGAAACCAATAAAGTCGGAACCAGAACCTAAGAGAAACAGAGAGTAAGACAGAGAGAAAGGAAGGAGACTCACACAGTCTCTGTTATGCTTAATAGTGATTAAGGGCTTCAGGTCATTGACATAATAATAATAGTACTTGCATTTGATATAGCGCTTTATCACGTTGTTGAGACGTCTCAAAGCGCTTCACAGAATATACCGTAGTGAATTGACTGTATATTTTGTGGGCAGCCAAGGAAACTTGCCTGAGGTTTGCCCTGCCCGGAAATCAAACCCGGGTCCTCTCACTTGCAAGGTGAGTGCTCTAACCAATATACTACAGGACCCTATGATCAGCTAATGGGATCTGCTGTGATTCCCTCAATCCCGAAGCTCTTAACAATGGGGAGTTTCTTACCAGCTCACGGCAAAGGAGCCACAGCCAATGTTGGATACCACGTCATTCAGTCTGTGGTACACACCACCTCGGTTTTTGAAGTAAACGTTGAGTTTGGTGAATTCCAGCTGAATATCGTTGATGTCGTGCAAGAAAAGCACCAGGATTCCAATGTTGTGATACCTGAGAGAGCGGAAGGGAGAGGGGGGGGAGGGTTGGGGAATAAAACAGGCAAAAGGAAGTAAGAGGTGTCGGAGAAAGCCAGAGAGACATACACAGAGAGAGGTTAATGAGTAGAATGGACTTGGCGTGAGGTGCGACCTTGACGGGCCCAATGACCCATCATTCTTCCCGTTTTTTGGGGACCAACGTTTTAGATTGTAGCGACAATCCACAGCAGCAACAACAACAACTTGCATTTACATAGACCCCCGCACCCCCACCCACACTCACACAGGGTAGCGTCCCAGAGCGCTTCAGCAAATGGCTGGTACAAGATTCTCTCTCTCTCTCACCTGAAGGCGTAGGAGAAGGAGATGAGGACCAGAGTTATAATGTGATGGACTAACATCACGATAGAGTCTTTCCTCCAGGTGTCCATGTAGAAGGCGGCATAGATAGCGTGACCGTAGAAGCTGGCCTGGATGAGATACGCGATGGCGATATCTCTCGGAACTTCCATCCCCGACTTCCAATCTGCGGCGATAAGAGGACACGAGCAATGCACCTCTAGGTACAATGTTGAGCCTCGCAAACCCAGCGCTCCCGAATTCCATCCTCAAGCTACATCAATTTCAACCTCCTCACACTCGTCTTCAAATCCCTTCACACCCTGGCACATCCCTACCTCTCTGACTGGCCCAGCGCCATGCTCCGCCACCATCAAGCGCTCTGGGATGCTACCCCGCGTGAGGGGCGACAGGTATATTCTCCCCCCACCCCCACCCACCGCTCCACTTCTCTCCTGAACTCTCTCTTCACTTTGAACCGTCTCCCCCTGCTTTCAAACCCTTCTGATTAACATCTCTTAACCCTTTTGTTCGCCAACGTCCATGACCGTTCATGGCACGCTGCCGTGTGGCGATTGGCAGCCGCATTTCGCCCACAAAATATACAGTCAATTCACTCTGCAGTCAGTGTACTGTGTGAATCGCTTTGAGACGTCTCGAAGTCGTGATTAAGGCGCTGTAGGATTAAGAGCTCCTCATAACCTCTGTTGAGGGCCCTTTGTGCATCCTTATGCGAGAGGTGCTGTATTAAATACACAGCAAATGTGGCTCAAACTGCGTTGCTCACCATGAAAGACGGAGGGCGGGTGGTGGAAGAAAGGATAGTGGGTGCAGAAGAGGAGATAGGTGCTGTAGGACCAGGACCCGGTGTAGAACAACAGCTTCCAGGCGCTCTCTGGCATCTTAGCTGCATCTCTGGGATGGAGGCGACACCACCGGCCCAGTGGCTGAAAGAGACAAAGAATAAGCTCAGCACCTGGACCGTAAGACACAGACCTCCTGCGTGGATCCCAGGAAACTAACAGAAGGGATGGCCGGCGGGGAGAAGGAGCGCTCTCCGTACTGGGCTGCGATTCCTGGGAAAAAAGCCACAAATTGCCAATCACATCTCAAAATAAGTAACATCTTGTGAAGAGTTTTGAGACATTGCAACGGGGTGATAAGGCATTATTACCAACCTAAAGATTATTGTTACTATTATTATCGCCTTTGGAACCAGTTCCCAGCCACTTCACCTTGCCCCCTCCCGTGCCTCCTTCAAGGCCTGTCTCAAGACCCTCCTCTTCGAATGAGCCTTTGGTCAGTCTCCTACCCTATCCTCCCAACTCTCCACCCCTCTCCTAATCCCAACCCCCAGCTCGGGGTCCAAATCCCTGACTGTCCAGCGCCTTGGGACGTCCTCCCTATGTGAAAGACACAATACAAATGTAATTTGTTGTTTTTTGTTATTACTAGAAGTTTATCTGTAAAGCAAGTTGCAACAACAAGAATTCCTCAGGTCAAGTACAGAATGGGGTAGATGCAGAGCAAAGCTTCCTCTACACTGACCCATTCTGAGCTCTCACGTCACGTGCACAATATGCCTCTGTCTAGTGTTTGCCCTCAACCTCCAATAGCCACTCGATTGAGGTCTCAAGTGGTCGCCAGCACCAGTCAGCAACTTCTGGTGAGGAGACTAAGTTAGAATACCTCTAAAGTTCAATACCTCTGTGATCTCTAAAGTTAACAAACGTGTGTGAGTTTCAGCACCACGTGAATGAAAACTGTTGCCAAAGCACAAGAAGTCTTGTAAACATTTGGGTGTTTCGTCCAAACCTGTTTCCCAGGATGATCGGAACAACCTGAATGGGAGCCGTTCATTTTCTCTCGTCCTCAAGGAATTTTGAGAGCGTGAGAAATGGATCGCAGTCAATTCACTTTACAGTATATCCTGTGAAGCACTTTGAGGTGTCTCAACACAATGCGATAAGCTGTTATATCAAATACAAGGATCATTATTATTATATTATCATAAAAAGAGAATTAAGTAAAGGTTAATCCAGTCTTTCAGTGATGAATATAGGATTTGCAAAAAGCTAAACGTTTTTTTTGTCTTGTCGGAAAACGAATGCAGTTGTGAAATGTCACAATAAATATGTGGGGAATGTAACAAATGGTGAAGAGGGCCATTATTCCTCAGCGTGTCGATGGGGGAGGGGGTAGAATGGCATATCTGGGGAGCTGATGGCCGGTTTGAATTCCCAACCGACTCTTCCCACAAATCAGACTTGGCTCTTGTCATTTTTAAACGAAACAAGCGGGTATTTATGGCAGAGATGTACCAAGGTCAACATTATCTGTGTTTCTTTTTTAATATGGGAAAATTAACTAAATTATACAGTACATATCTAAATGATTCTGCATTAGAACATTGTCAAGTGAGAATGAACCCACTTGGCCCGCTCTGCATGTCCCAACTCCCCCCCCACCCCTCCGCCTCCCACCACCACTGAGCAGGATAACAAAGTTCTCCTGTTATGTGTTAATGATTAACAAAACCGATGCAGTCAAAAGGTAACTGGACATTGATTTTGTTGATCTCCCGGTATGGTTTGCAACACAAAAGTACTGATAGTCGCTTTCCCCCGCTGCAGCACCAGCCCTTCGGATAATACGTTGAACCCGAGGTCCCATCTGTCTGTTCACGTGGACAGTTAAAGATCCCATGGCGCTGTTCAAAAAGAGAAGGGAGTTCCTCTTCCCGGTGTCCTGGCCAACATTGCCCCCAAATAAAATTAGTCACTTAATCCATGGCTGTGTGTGGGACACTGGCTGCCGCGTTTGACCCACAAAATACACAGTCAATCCACTTCAGAGCATATGCAGTGAAGTGCTTTGAGACGTCTCGATGATGTGATAAGGCGCTGTTATCAAATGCAGGGATTATTATTATTATTCCTACCCTAATCCCAATTCCCTGCTCCCTTCCCGTTATGTCTGTGTTGAGGCTGTCCCTCCCACTCTTGCTGCCCACACCAACCGGTCCCGGCTGCTGATCTCCAGCCAGGGGAAGCGCACGTAGGTGGACATCTGCGGTCACTGACACTAACCATCAGGGCACAACAGCAGAAACCACCGCATCTCGGGCAAAGCACCCAAGGGCACAGGAGGCATCTCCCAGCGGGAGGCAAGCAAGCAGCAACAGCAGTTTAGGGCTACGCATTATTCATCATATTTTCACAGGTTAGGCATGATGCAACATCACACATATATATATATATATATAAAATGATTAAGAGTAAATACGATAAACAACGGCTTTTAACATTTCACAGACTGACAGCGTTGGGGGGAGGTTTGGGGATTTGAGACGTGACTTTGTGTACGTTTCTCTTTCTCTTTCTCTCTGCTGATCGACGATACTATATATATATATATATATATACATACATATACACATATTTTTTTTTAGGTCGGGCAGCATGTCTGACACACACGGAAACCCATCACCGTTCTTTTGAGAGTCTCCAAACCAAACCGAGAATCCCGCGCATCCCACCGACACATGGAAATCCTGCAGATAAGATTGCCGGAATGGAATGCGGTCTCTCTCTCTCTCTCTCTCTCTCCCTCCCTCCCGGAGCGGAAACAACTGAATGTCCAAAAATAAATAAAAATGAGAAGATTGAATTTTATTCGATTTCCCCTGCCCACCCCCTACTCCCCCTGCCGCCGCAAACACCCCCAAAAAAACCCTGAAACCCCCCCCCCCGGCCCCCGCAAAAAAAAAACCCTACCCCGAAGCTTAACGCTTCACCCGCTGCGGGCTTTTGAGACGTCTCGAAGACCCAATAGGGGGAGTGGGTGGGGATCCAAAATGCAAGGATTATTATTGTTGTTAATAATTAACGAATTATTCATTTAAAAAAAAGACGCCGGGTGGTGGGGGTGTGGGTGGGGGCGGCGGTGGTGGGGGTGGGTGGTAGTGTGTGGGGTGGGGGGGGGGGGGTGGGGTGGAAAGGGGGAAAAGAAGCCACAAAACCGACCTGGAAGAAGCAGCTGGTGGTGGCTTTGCGGAGTAAAGTCCAAGTCACGGCGCAGAGCACGAAGAGGAGGGCGTCGGTGGCGGACAGGCAGCAGTGCTGGACGAAGGTCCGGCGGGTCAGGTCGAAGCCGCAGCCCCGGCACTCCACGCACGCCGCGGTCAGCGAGCCCAAGCTCTTGGCCAGCATCTCGGCGTAGCCGGGCATCTCCTCGACACCCCCCTGGACACCCCCCAACCCCACCCCCACCACCCCCTGTTGCTGCTGCTGCTGCTGCTGCTGCTGTACCCCCTCCTTCACCATCATCATCATCATCACCAGCCTCTTGGCATCTTCCTCCTGCCCCGGATCCCTGATCGCCATTCACAGCCACGAAACACCCCCTTTACACACACACACACCCCCCCCACTCCACCCCCCAACCAACCCCCCAACCCAACCCCCCCCCTCACCCCCTTCTTCTCCCCCCCCACCCAAAAAAAAATGGGTGCCTTAATACAAGGGAGAACCCCACCACCACCCTCTCTCCCCCTCCCTCACCCTCTCCCCTCACCCCCTCTCTCACCCCCTCAAATTATTTTTTTTCCCTCTCTCTCTCTCGTCGCCGTGAGAGTGTGGTTCGAGAGCGCCGATCAGAAGAGAGAGAGAGAGAGAGAGAAAAAAAATCAGAAGAAAGGATACGGAAATAAAGAGAGACCCGGAAATTAACTCTTTTTTTTGTGTATATATATATATATACAGAGAGAGAGAGAGAGAGAGACACAGAGAGAGAGAGACGCAGACGATGAGGTATTTCGCTGCGATTGAGCAATAAAGCTCTGTCCGATGGGGTAACAAACAGCCCCTCACACCCCCTCCTCCCGGGGGGGGGGGGGGGGGGTATATATTATTTTTTTGGGGGGGAGAGGGGAGAGAGAGAGATGATATGAAGAGATTTTTACATCATTATTTCGTAATAAATACAATAACACTGTTTTTTAAAAAATATTTTTAAAATCTCTCCTCTCTCCGACGCGGTGTCTCGAATTTCGACGCAAAATAAATAAAAAGTCGCGTAAATACGAATAAGAGGAGAAGAAGAAGTGAAAAGAAAAGAAAGAGAGAGAGAGAGAGAGGGATTGAAGAAAAGGAAAGCGAAAGAGAAAAGAAAAAGAAGGAGAGAGGAGGAGAGAAAACGGCGACGAAACGCGGGAGGAAAAGGCACCGCGTAACAAACCGTCTGTGTCCCGACACCGACACCGACCGTCTGATCTGATCGATCCCCTTATTTTTTGTTCCCCCCTCAAACCCCTCACACCCCCCAAACCCCTCACACCTCACCCTCACACCTCACACACACACACACACTCCCCCTATTATTAGACACAATCTCTCTCTCTCTCTCTGTCGCCGCTGATGATCACAGAGAAGACCTTTAGACCTTCGTAGGTTTTAAGATTCCTAATCACCGCCCGACACGTGGGGGGGGAGGAGGGGTGTGTGGGGGGGGGGGGGGGAGGGGTGGAGGGGGAGGGAGGGTGTGTGTGTGTGGGGGAGGGAGGGGGTGGGGGGGGGGGGAGGGGAGGGGGGTGTGTGTGGGGGGAGGAGGGGAGGGGGTGTGTGTGGGGGGGAGGGGTGTGGGGGGGGTGTGTGTGTGTGGGGGGGGGGAGTGGAGGGGGTGTGTGTGGGGGGGGGGAGGAGGAGTGGAGGGGGTGTGTGTGGGGGAGGGAGGGTGTGTGTGTGTGGGGGGGGGGGGGGGGTGTGTGGGGGGGGGAGGAGGAGTGGAGGGGTGTGTGTGGGGGGGGAGGGTGTGTGTGTGTGTGGGGGGGGGGGGGGTGTGTGGGGGGGGGAGGAGGAGTGGAGGGGGTGTGTGTGGGGGGGGAGGGTGTGTGTGTGTGTGGGGGGGGGGGGTGTGGGGGGGGGGGGAGGAGGAGTGGAGGGGGTGTGTGTGGGGGGGAGGGTGTGTGTGTGGGGGGGGGGGGGGGGTGTGTGTGTGGGGGGGGAGGAGGAGTGGAGGGGGTGTGTGTGGGGGGGAGTGCAATGGATAAAGCTTTAGCAGATTCAAAACCCTGGATTGATCTCAAATCCCTCCTCCCTCCTCCTTTAATTCCCCCCCCAGTTCATTCAGAAAAAAAGAGATGATTTAAATGGTTAAGTAAGTTGTGTCCTGGGGTACCCCCCCCCCCCCCAAAAAAAAAAAACACTGTGTCTCACTGTCCTCAAAGGGAATAGAGAGAGAGAGAAAGGTTGATGTGTATTCACCACTTGTCCATTTTCATGTCAATTTCAGCTGAAAAGGTTTTTTTTCTCTCTCTCTCCTCTCTCCATCTCCGGTTGGTGGCGCAAAAAGGTTGTCAAGTTTTTTTTCCTCCCCCCCCCCCCCCCTCTCCTTCCCCCCCCCCCCCCCCCAATCATCCCCTTCCTTTACAGCCTCCAAAACCTCACGGTTCGAGATTGTTCACAAGAGGTCGGAACAGCGAGAGAGAGAGAGCGAGAGAGAGGGGAGCAAGGAAGGAAGGAAGGAAGGAAGGAGGGAGGAAGGGGAGAGAAGGAGGGGATCGTGTTAAAGGAAAAGCGACAGGACCAGGCTGTTCTGTCGTTGAGTTTCAGCGCCTTGGGACGTCCTCCCGGCGCTGTACAAAGGTAACCTTGTCGTCGTTGTTGTTCCCCCCCCCCCACCACCCCAAAGCACGAGCTGATCTTAAAGTTAGATCACGTTTCCCGTCGCACAGGAACCTCCCACAGTGCGACACAGTCAGAGAGACAAATACAGCGCAAATCAACACTCTCTCTCTCTCTCTCTCTCTCTGTGTCTCTGCAGCTCTTGGTTCGCCTGTCACTCGCTAATCTCCCCCCTAATATAAATAATTACGCACGTTCTGCATTCTCCCCCCCCTCCACTCCCTCCCTCCCCTCCTCCCTGATCGTCACCTCTTTTATTAGCAGCGTTAATATGTGGCCGGATCTTTTGTCGCACTGTGTAATGTGTGTGACACGCACACACACACAGAGAGAGAGAGAGGACAAGGGCATCTTACAAAGGTTCAGCCCTCTCTCTCTCCCTCTCTCCTCTCTCACACACACACAAATAAATAGCGCCTCCACTGCACCATTCCCCAGCCCGTATATTATGGGCTGTCAAGGGTTGTGGATCTCGTCATCCGTTTGGTTCATTCAACTGTGAGTAGCTCTCACCACCCACCTCTCTTTCCGCACAGCTCTCTCCCCCCCCCCCCCCCCACCCCCCATCTCTCTCTCGCTCTCTCTCCGCAGGCTGGTATTAAACAGTACAAGACCTAATTGATCACAGCATAAAATGCCCGACGTAACATGTCACACTTGCTCCCCGCCCTAGAATGCGTGCCGGAGGCTGGGGGCTGGTGGGTGGGTGGGTGGGGTGGGGGGGAGGGAGCTGTGAATGTCCTAAATTAACAATAACAGCACATTACACGGTTTCGCCTGCAAAATGACAATTCACTCTACAGTACATTCTGTGAAGCGCTTTGAGATGTCTCGAAGGCGTGACAAGACACATCACATTAAATTATATGTAATTACATATACACTACATGAAAACTGCACGCCGGGCATCGGTCAAAGTATTAAAATAATAAATCTTTATTGTTTCTCAGGGAACAGGCATCAACTTAGAACAAATTAGCTGCGAGACAGAAAGGAACGAGACATCAACTGTAGGGACCGGAGGCCGGGGGGCTGAAATGGAACCGGAGCTAATCTCGAGCTGACAGGTTCTCAGTCCTGGGAAAAGCTCCCTAGAGCCGTTGGCTCTGGTTGATCGCAGGCCGGACGTCACTCTGTGGAGATTAGGAAGAGTTTATTAATTGAATACAAGGAAAAGGGGGGAAAAGAGGGGGTGGGGGAAAGTGGGTGGGGTAGGGGGGAAGAGAGCGCGGGGGGAAAGGTGGGGGAGGAGATCGCAATCCCAATTCACTAACATTCAAATAATAATGATAATCCTCGCATTTGATATAGCGCTTTATGTCGTCGAAACGTCTCAAAGTGTTTTCACAGATTATACTGTAAAGTGGATTGACTGTGTATTTGTGGGCGAAATGCAGCAGCCAATTGGGCACAGCGGTGTCCCACAAACAGTCGTGGATTGAGTGACCACTTTTTGTTTCTTTTTTGGAAGGATAATCATCCTCAGAGAGTGATCCACTAATCGACCAGCAACCGGGTTCCTGCTTACTGTCAGTAGAGGAGTGTGTGTGTGTGTGTAAGGAAACTTGCCGTAGGTTTCGCCCAGCCCTGTCCGGGAATCGAACCCGGGGCCTCCTGCTTGCGATGCGAGTGCTCTAACCATTACGCTACCTCACAGGGACCTCACAGGATTGAGGACTCACTGATCATTGACATCTGAACTCTTCGGGAAGTGGTTTATTTTGGGGTTCAGGTGGAGTTTAAACAGCTGAACCTGGAGCAAGTTATATGAGGACCGTGTCAGGTTTCGAAGCGGAGCTCCTCGCCAATGATAACAGAGGACATGGGGTGGTGGGAATCCTAACCCTGAGACTTGGCCCAAGGACACTCTAGAGGCCAAGAAACGGGAGAACTTGCGCTATTTAGAAATTGAAGGCACGAGATAAGTTACTGAACTCCGAGACATCTCATGCCTTCAATTGGGAATCATCCCCCCTTAGGTTTTAGAAGAGTTCCCCCCAGCAACCCCCTCCTCTGAGCTAATTTTGACCCCACCGCCCCCCACAGAACTAAATGAACCAGGAAGTTATGTATCACAGGCAATATATGAGGTGAGACATTAAACCGAGGTCCCCGTCTGCTTGTTCAGGTGGACATTAAAGATCCCATGGCACAACAACAACAACTTACACTTAAATAGCCCCCCACCCTCCACGCAGGGTAGCATCTCAGAGCGCTTAACAGTGGCGGAATCTGATTCCGAGCCGGGGAGAGGGGAGGTGGTCGTAAGCACGGACGAACAGTAAAGTCTTCAGGAGGGACTTAAAAGAGGGGAGAGAGGGGTGGAAGGCGGAGAGATTGAGGGAGAGTGTCCCAGAGTTTTGGGGCACATTTAAAAAGGGAAGGTAATTTCTCCCAGTGTTGTGGCCAATATCTTCTCCCCAAATAAATCAGTCACTCACTCTCCATGGCTGTTTGTGGGACGCTGCTGTGTGCAACTGACTGCCGCGTTTCACCCACAAAATACACAGTCACTCCACTTTACAGTATATCCTGTGAAGCGCTTTGAGACATCTCGACGACACGATAAAGCTCTGTATCAAATGCAAGGATTATTATTATATAACAGTATGCTTAGCAAAAAAAAGGGGTGGTTTGGAGGGGGGTGGGAACTTCCCCTTAGGCAATGGGCCTGTAAATGATGTAAATAAACAAAATCATTTGTTCCCTCCCTCCCACCAAGAACATAAGGAAGAGTTACTCTTCCTTAATCCCCCCTCCTGGGAACCTCGTTCTCTGAGACACAGTCAAGTCAAGGACTCACCAATTCAGTCAACAGACGCAGGAAAGGCAGCAGCTTAAGGAGCTCCTGGTCTCTGCGATCCTCAAACCAGCTCTTGACTTGAATTCCGTTTGTGATCTAGGAAGAGAGGCTGTAGGCTTAGGAAGGGTTAGTGGGTGACAATCTTCTCTAACCCTTTCCTCTCCTGACGGTGTTGGAGACGGTCATAGGGGTTACCTTTGGTATCTAACCAAAAGTGGGCACTTTCTGTGTGAGCCCAGACAGTGAGTGTTGACGGTATTTGACCACAGTGGATATCACAATTACAAAGCACCTCTCATTGTACCTGAAATGCGTAAGCCTCATGGGAACTGTCCACAACCACAGTCTTTGCTAAGTCTCTCCCGAGGACACTCAGCTCCCGGACATAGCTTCCTTGCACGCATCGGCAGTGTTTCCTGAAGAGACAGTGTCTGCAGCCGGTGTGTATGTATGTGGGGGGGGAGGGGAGAAATGTGATATTAGAGACATTATATTAGATAATAATAATTATAATCATAATTCTCGCATTTGTCGTAGGGCCTTATCATGTCGTTGAGACGTTCTCGAGGCGTTTCACAGACTATATTGTAAAGTGTGGTGGCGGTGCATTTTGTGGGCGTAATGCGGCAGCCAACTGATCGATCAACCAGATCAATCAACCACTTCTACATTTCACTCCCTCTTCTATACGGTGCAACCAACTGTGATCTTAACAGTTCAGTGAAAAAGCCACGCAAGACACCAGTGGGGTGGGCGGTTAGGGGGTTGGAAATTGCTTCTCTTTTCAAACAGCAGGCACCTCCTGTGTTTCGAGGGTGGAGCTTTCGCACCGGTATCAATACTTGCCTGATCAGCCGCCTGTTTGGGTCAAGGATATCCACCAATTTGTCCGTGTAATCCTTCGTGGCGGAAGTGAACACGATGATCTGACGGGAAAACAAAGTGGGCAAGTGAGTCCCTTGTCCGAGACTTTGGACAGGTGGCAACATGCTGACTCTATTAGATACTGGATCAGAGACCAAGACAAAAAGCTTCAGCTCAATTCTCAGGTGTCACCTATTGAGATGAGGCTGGTGTGTCATATCCAACATAAGAAAAGGGGTGACTTTCCGCTCCTTACCTCGTAGATCTGGGATAAGCTCTCCAGGAAGGTCCTGCAGTGAGGCCTCAATTGCATGTAGACCTGAAAGGCAAACCAGCGTGACAGGGTGGAGGCGAGGAAATAAATTAAATGAGGCATTTAAAATAAATCCACCTTAAAAATTTGCGAGCGAGCAGAACTGGGAGAAATTCTTAAACCCGGTCCTAATTTGGAAGCCGGTTTCTTTTGCAGAACTGTGGAAAACCGACTTTCAAAATGACTACTGAATTTAAACACTTCTCAGATTTTTGAATGATCTCGAATTTACAGCCAATGTTGAGAAGATTTGGTTACCAGGAACAGGAACGATGACTAATTTTTCCATCTGAGGGGTAGGCCTAATAATAATCCCTCCAAAACCAAAACCAATAATAAATTGGTCGTTTTCAATCCGCGACTGTTTGTGGGACATTGCTGTGCGCAATTGGCTGCCGCGTTCGCCCACAAATATACAGTCAATTCACTTTACAGTGTGTTCTGTGAAGCGCTTTGGGACGTCCTCCCGACGTGAAAAGCGCTATATCAAATGTAAGGATTATTATTATTATAGGCCATTCAGCCACTCAAGTCTATTCCGCCATTCTATTAGATCACGGCTGAACTTGCTGCCCCTCTATCTACATGAACAGCTGCTCACTGGATAAACCCACAGACATCCCAGAGGGAGAGGGAGGGAACTGAAAAGGGCCTTGCACACTGGGGCTGTGTTTAAAGAACAAAGACATGACAGAGAGAGAGAGAGAGAGATGCACTGAGGCTGATGCTGTCTCAAACAGTTCATTCACAGATTCTTTAGCAGATATATCCCCCTCGCCCCCTCTGCTGTAAGTGCCAGACTAACAGGGCATTACTGTTGTGGCCACACAACAAGTAACCAAATCGATCATAAAGTTCCCCCCATTTTTATTAAATTGACAAAGGCAAACCTGGTAATTGTTATCCTGAAAATGGACTGGGAACTGGAATTCTACTTTCTCCATTGGAACCAGCTCGCAATGAACAAGAGTCTCATCCTGGGGATCAGAGAGACAGAGACTGGATTAACAGGCAGTTAGTGAAATGGGATTAGAGTGGAGAGGTCCAGTGGGGTGAACAAGGAGAAATGCTAACGCAAATGGCCTCCTGGATTGTAAATATTCTGGAGTCCCGCAGGTTAATGGTTAGCAAGCAAGAGGACCCAGATTCGATTCTTGGGGAGGGTGCAATCTGAGGCACGTTCCATACTCCACACTTACTTCCTTACTCTGTTTACCTAACAGTAAGTAGGAACCTGATTGTTAAGTCGATTAGCGGATCGCTTTCCAGGGGGTAATAATCCCTTTCATTACCCGTATTAAGCGCACTAGATAAATTCAAGTTGTTGTAGTTGTACTCACCAGCCCCAGAACCAGGGTGTGACTGGGAACACTGCGAGTCTGGACGGGAAGGCTGGGTTTCTGAGATGGTGGATGCTGCTCTGATGAGGATATTAGTCGTTCGATGAATTTGTGTCTGAAGGAAGTTTTAAACAAATTGAACTTCCAACAAAAATATATTAATTATGTATTCATTCCTCCCAAAGCAACACGTCATACAGACAAGATGCAGAGTGAAACTTCCCCAACAATACCCTAATAATATGCCCCAACTGTAACTTATTGCAAACACTCGCCCTCAATCCCTCCATCTTGCCTCCTCCTTCCCCATCTTCAGGTTGTCTGGACAGTCGAGTCAGCCAGCTCAGGTACTTACTGCTTAAGCACTTCGCTTTTTTCCTCCAAGTGCCAAGATGAGGGCATTGAAAAATAGACAGATAAAGGCATCTCCATAGACTCCATATCCTCTTCATACTCCAGACTCTGCAAATCTAAGGGGTGGGGAAGGGGTGGTGGGGGGGAGGGGTGCGGAGAAAGGAATTTAGTAAAACAACTTGCCACCCTGAAATGAACCAAAAACCAAACCCAGGTGTCATTACATCTTGGCAGATCTTTTAAGACCAATGCCCGTCTGTTTGAAATGCCTCCTGAATGCTGCTGTTACCGTGCTAACGAACATTAATAATATTAATATTAATCCTTGCATTTGATATAGCGCCTGATCACGTCTTCGAGACGTCGCTCAGCGCTTCTGACATTACATGGATCACGGAGCAGACAATGAAGTCTCTACCGGTGCTGTTCAGTGGTGGGTCCCACCAGCGCTTTGCTGCCAGCCTCGTGGCTCTGGGGGTAGTTGTGTGTGAATCGTATCCATCAGGTTGTTTGTCTGGAGCTCCTGTGTCTCCTTTAGCCTGTGACAACAGCAAGAAAAGGCAAATCACAGACCTTACATTTTAAAATTTAAAAAATTAAAAATGTCAATGTGAGCCCTTTAAAGGGAATTGGATATGCAATAATAATAATGATAATAATAATCCTCGCATTTGATATAGCGCCTTATCACGTCTTCGCAACATCTCAAAGCGCTTCACAGAATACACTGCAAAGTGGATTGACTACATTTTATGGGCGAAACGTGTGGGCAAAATGTACTTGAAAAGGAAAAATATGCAGGGTTATAGGGTAAGAGCGGGGGAGAGGGAATAATTGGATAGCTCCTTTCAAAGAGCCGACACAGGCATGATAGGCTGAATGGCCTCCTTCTGTGCTGTAAGATGCTACGATTCTATAACCAACCAAGACTGTCTCAGAAAACAAGCAAAGAAATTTTTGTTCCCTTTAAAAATCTTGAGCTCAATTAAATATCGCACGAGAGTTGCCAAATGAAACAGTGTGGTGATCAGGTGCAAGAATCCTGCTTGATCTTTTATCTCTCTAGCCCAGTGACACAGAAACTAATTCTCACCCTTTTTGTTGGATGTTTACTGTCCAAATGATGCCCAATCCTTTTATTCCCTTCCTTGGAGGGTTTCGCTGTTGTACGTTTTTCTCTTGTGCAGCACAGCATCTTCGATACCTTTCCTCGCCCTCGTTGACGTGGGGATTTGCTGCACGTCTGGCTGTAGTCAAGGGTCTGAGGGTCCAAAGACAGGGCTTTGGAAGAACGCAGATTCATTCTGTAGCTCGGATCCATCTGAGAACAAAGGACAAAATGCACAGAGTCCAGCAACACAACAGATAGCTGATCAGAGGCTTGCTCCTTCGGTTACTAATAATAATGATCCTTGCAATTGATATAGCGCCTTATCAAGTATTGAGACGCCTCAAAGCGCATCACAGAATATGCTGTAAAGAGGACAAAACTGTGTATTTTGTGGGCGAAACACGGCAGTCAATTGGGCGCAGCAGTGTCCCACAGACAGTCCTGGATTGAGACAAATTATTATTATTGTTTTTTTTTAAGGGCTTCAGGTGCGATCTGATGAAAGCCAAAGGTGGAGGGGTAGAGGAAGAAAGTTCCATAGCTTCAGGTGTATGAAGATCTACAGATTAGTAACTAACACATTGAGCCATATTTACTAATCCATGCCACTGTTCTTGGGAATCTCCCTCACAACCTCTGCACACGAGAGCAGCTGTTTGCAAACAGAGCAGAATAGTTCCGTGAGGACAGGTGAAAACTGCCCATTCACCTCTGATCTTTTTCCAGGCCAGAGACACCAAGAACCGTTCTGATCGAGGTTCAAGTCCACAAAACATGAGCCGATAAAATGATAAAATGAGCCAAATCCTCACTAATGATGTTCAGAATTCAGCACAAACTTGATGTAGCATTAAGAGGTCTCAACGATTTGATAAGGCGCTATATCAAATGCAAGAATTATTATTATAAAAGAGGCAGGAGTGGAAACTATCACAAGGATGCACAAGAGGGCGCTTTTCTGAAGTTTATATTACTTTGTATTAAACTGGAGTGGAGAGATATATTCTACAATTTAAAGCATCTTGTAAGAAAGTTTTACTCTGTATTTAAACCACATTATAAAGTTGGTGCTGGACACTGACACTGGGTGCAATACATACGTTTTGCTGTTTCCAAGCTCGAGCTTCAAACATCCCACAATATTCAAATCGTCAGAATAAAACAACAATGTTCCTCACTCACCTTCTCTCACAGTAAAACTCCCAGCTTTCTTCTTTCCCAGTGGAGTTTTTTTTCTCCTATTTATAAATGTAACCCTTCCTGCACTGGATCCCTTTGGAATTTCAACAATTTAATGAATCAGAGAAGGCTCCTGTTCTCCTGGCTGTGAGAATGATGCTTAATTATAAATTGGAGAATATTCACCTCTATCCATTTTATTCCCGTTACCAACTCTAGTCTTAGACTTCTTGTGTATGAAACTGATCCGGTGCTCATGGGGTTAATGCATCAATATAAGTGGCTGAAATATCACCTGGCTGAGATTTGCCTGCGATTCCAAAGGCAGGTGCAACCTGTTGGATGGAAGTTTCTGACACCAACCGGAAAGGTGAGTGAATTTCTTGTCAATTTGGAAAATCCTGGGAACAACCTTCTGCTGTGAAGCAAGAAGAATCCGTCACTTTTACACCCACCAGAAGAGGAATGAATCTCCGTGGGTTACTTCACTTGTCTTGTCCCATTCATGTGAACGACCGNTTTTTTTAATAATAATTTTTGGACAAGGGAGGACACCGGAAGAAACTCCCCACTCTTCTTCCAAATAGTACCAAAGCATCTTTTTAACATTTACCTGCAGAGGGGAATGGGAACCTCAGATAATGTCTTCTCAACAGTGATGTTAGCATTTTTGACAGTAATTGACAATCTGTCATGTCAATGCTCATTTGAAATCAAAGCTGTGAGTTGACATCAATTGATTAGGGGAAAGACAAAACACCAGTGACAGGTCAGGACATGAAAGGCAATCTTTTATAGTTCGGGGAGCTTTGGTGAGAAGCTGTTAATCTCCACACCCTCCCTCCCCAGGCGGAATCATGCCTGAGATCAGAACTCACGTAAAATAATCATTCTTCCCCAGCCCCACGCCCCTCAAAGAAAAATACTTCAAAATTTCCCTTCCACCAATCTCTGGCTCTATTGACAAACCAGCTACTGGTAGTAGGAATTTCAAGGAGCTTCCAAAGAACGCATCAAGTCATTACTTAACCTTGTTCCATAAAGAAATGCCCAGATAATTAGTTAAAATATCTTCTCTCCCTTTGCCCTCCCCTTGCAGCACTGTCAACAAATTTCAGTTAAGGGAGTGGTAGGCAGCTCTGAAATTGCCTTTAGTGCCCCTGGGAAATTGATGGTGAATACTCTCTCAACCCCCCACCCCCCAGGAATTACATCAATCCTCTTTGCCCGATATTAAAAGCTATCAGAGCAAGGCTCACATCATGTTACTAACATTACCTCCAGCACAAAGGAAGAGCATCGATTTAATCACAAAGTCACAGAACACACTGACAATAATTTTATTAGGAATGCATCATTGGTAAAGATTTATCACGTATAACCATCCAAATTGGTCTCTGGAGAGAATTGGTATAAAGTTTATAATAATTAACATGGGAATCTCAGGCGGGCGACAATTTTGCAAGGTGACAATTGCTGATAGACCCACTGCTCATAGGTTGAAGAGACAGGGCTGAAGTGTTCAGTCTTCGCTCCGAACCCTCTCACGCACTGGGAGCATACTGTAGCACCAAGCGATCAAATTCGTGTTCCTGCGCGGAGGGATTAGAATCACCCATTACAACAGCAGATTTAAAATACAGTTAAAAAGCTTTTATGATTTAGTTCTCAACTTCAGCACAAGCCAAATTACACATGAAAATCTCGATGTTTCAAACCGGCAGATAAGAGAGACCAGAGTTGGGGGTGCGGAGGGTACTTGTTGGTATTACTGGAGACGGATGTACTGACAGAGAAGCACGACATACCTTGGCCATGTATTCTTTTACAAATGGGTGGGTCCGGTGTCCATCCTTCAGCTGAGATAGGTAGCGATTGCTAACCTGTACACACACAAAAAAAAACAGAGAGTTAGCCTGGCATCATTGCTCCATCCCATTACGAATATGAATGTATCTGGATTCCCTCATTAAGTGGCTCACTTTAAAATGTCATTATAAAAGGTGCAGCAAAGTTGCTTCAACACAAGACCAGCCCCATTTGCTTTGCTTTTAAAAAGGGGGTGAGCATTTCTCTTCAACCAATTCATGTGGAGCGAGGCAGAGCAGAAATCCGGTGATTTTGCCAGTCTAACATTCCGGCCACAAATACCACAACAAATTCCTTTCAAATGAATGTCTCGTTGAAAACAACAACATTCGGGTCAGATGTTATCTCCGGTGGAAGTCGTCACAAACGGAATATGAACTGCCAGTGATAAACAAAGTATTCCAATTATGAGGCCAAGCTCAATTCCAACCAGAAACATTCAGCACAACACAGGTCAAGCACTTGGCTCACTCTGCACCCACACACCCACAGTCGGACGGAAGGTTCCAGAACATTACCTCGGGAGCCTTTCCCAGGTGCTGCGAGAGAACAATGAGGTTGATCAGAGTCTCGGGGTGGCTGCTGTCCTGAGGGGAGAGGAAACAACAATCACAATAACTCATAATTATTCAAGGACACAGTCCAGGAGACGTGTGCATAAAACGTCACATCCACTTGTGTGGGAGGTCAAAGATGTGGCAGATTTTGCAGATTGTGGAATGTTTGAAGCTAAAAGTCTTCAGTTTCTTCTTATCTCGCAAATATCAGTCAATTCACTTTGCAGTATATTCTGTGAAGCACTTTGAGACGTCTAGAAGACGTGATAAGGGGCTATATCAAATGCCAGGATTATTATTATTATTTATCTCTTTGAGGTAATTCACTCCTCCAAAGGCACTGACTTGTGCTGGGTTATGGAGCTGTCCTACACTCTGTTAATACACCCCAAGTGGCATTCTTCCTTTGTGACTCGAGTAAGTAGGGAGGGAGCTGTGAGGGGAGCAAAGCCCAATGACTGGACACCCAGATTAAAACTGACCAACAGCCAAAGGCTGACAAGCACATACTCATCCACAAACAGGGGTCACAGCCGTGCAGCACACAAACCTCTCAAACTCAAATCAATACAATCAGAAGCCAAAAGCACTCCTCCTGTTCTGCAAATTTTCCAAGGTTCAATGCACTGATTTGATGCGCTTCAATTCTTCGTTCGGCCACAAAGTGGCAGCACATCTGGTTTTGCACACAGGGTTTGGGAAGCTGAGTAACATCCATGAAATTGTAAATAAGGAAGAACATCAGTTGTCTCTCTCAGGAGCACCAACACTTCTGACCATCCAAACCCAGACTTAATGTCTGTTTGTGAAGGTATACCAGGCAGTCAATAGTTGATAACTCTCTGATAAGAGCTGCCAGGATATCTCAGGCTGCGCTCTCTGAGCCTAGGTCTGACTTAGCCCAGTATTTCTCGAGTTATTTCTCCTGAAAAGTGCAATCACTGCTTTACAGAGTCGATCCTGTCTCCGGCCCCCTCCCTACCTTGTCCAGCGCCTCCTGAAGTACTCCCTCCGCGTCGTCCCACTTGCCCTGTGCCATGTGACAGGCTGCCTGGCCGTTCAGGAGCAGCAGGGTGGCTGTGTACTTGTCGGCCATTTCTTGGAAGATGTAGTAAGCGTCTTGGAGCCGGTCTCCACCCTGCGAGCAGGTTAAACAGTGGTTAGTGTGGTGGTGGTGAGGGGGGGGGGGGGTGGGGAACGTACATCACTAAGCAGCTTACCTGCACCCAGCGCTGAAGAGTCACACAGTAAACACAACAGTATCCATACACACACCCCATGGATCTCCACTATATTATTAAAACACCTTTAGGAACTGAAGCCTCTCCGCATGGGTTTCTATAATCACAGCCGTGCTCGCAGTTGTAGAGCCGAGGTGCCTGCAAGTTACCAGGGCTGATGAATGCCGTGAGCTTCCAATCAAACTCTCACCATTGGGTGGGGGGGGGGGGGGGAGAGAGAGAGAGCAAAATACACGAAAGCTGAAAAATAGAAATATAAACTGAGGGAAAGCAGGGAACGGGACTAGTTGGGTAGGTCTATCAAAGAGCCACCACAGGCACGATGGGCCACGATCAAAGAGGCACGATACTTGGAAGCAGAGAACTAATGTTATAGCTGTGATCTTTCCTCAGGATGAATAACGCGTGTTTGCTATGCCAGCCAGCTAGCACCAACTGCTGTCACTCACCATTCCCAGGTTGACCCAGGCCGTGCCTAGCTGTGTCAGAGTCGCGTCCTCATCCTGCTCCTGCATCTTCTTCAGCTCTTTCCTGAGAAAATGCATCAAGTCAGTGATACTGCAATGGGACAGGAGGTCTGAGCTACCTGTATCAAATGCACGGATTATTATAAAGTGGTTTTTATTTTATGACTCGATTGTTCTGGACGATGTGCATATAGGTTTACTGGAACAAAATCATTTCCATGTGGCGACTCAGCAGCTTACCGAGCCAGGTCCAGCCTGTCAAGCTTCAGGAAGATCTGGATGGACATTGCCATGCTGTGGAGAGAGCGAAAAGGGATCATCAGCCTTGTTCTTCCACGCAGACAACAAACTGCTCAGGGGCAGCTCAGTCTTTACTGAGCAGCAAATGTGGGAGCATAAGGTTCCAGGTTTTGTGGGTCCTGGCTGAAAGCAGACACATCTGAGCTCTGCCATAATCTAATACGGTGCGGGCGTTAGTGAAAGAGACTCACCATTCCAGGCTGTCCCCTTGGTGCAGTGTACGGAACGCAGCATCAGTGTTTTCCGCGTGTAAATATATGGAGGCAGCCATCAAGAGGAAGGTGGTGTTGCTGACATCAACACTCTTTGCCATTTTCTTGTCCAGTTCGGCCGTGATGCCATCTCTGCACGATAAAGCAACCCCTTGAGCTCTCCTCGTAGATTACATTCCAAAGTACTACAAGACATTTATTTTAAGTGTAAAGGTAATATATATTTCTGATGAGTCCACATCAGATTCTGAACAGATCTCTTAGAGCAGCGATCCGGTCAGTACATTACACAGGAACACCACCGAAGGAATCTACATCGGGAAAATGACAGTTCATCGGAAAATACTGTTGAACAGGTTTGCTCTCAGAAGACATTCATCTAATTAGTCACTAAAAAACAAAACAAATATTCACACCAAAAGCTGTAAATGAAATACGAAACTAACTAAAACTGTTCAGCAAAACACTGCAACTCGCTCACAGTCTATATGCTGCACCTCGACAGTAAGATTAAAGACACCCACCTTCGTTCCTCACTGGCTAAATATTCGGCAAACATTCTGACAGCCTGTAATTCTGCGGAAGAGCTTGGTTTGATATCATCCAATACCACGCCATATTTTCTCTGATGGGTGGGGAGAGAGGGAGAAAACAAAAATACATCACTGATCAACATTCACTTTTGAGCAGCGCTAGAGTACAATAAAGCTTCTGGGTAATATTGGGGGGGGGGGGGGTGGATTGTACAGTACTGAGCGCTTATTTCAAGTGCTCTGGGAAGCTATCCCGCATGAAGGACGCTATATAAATGTTAGGTGTTGTTGTTGGGAGGGTGTCTTTCGTGTCACTGAGTGCAAGATGCTGCTGGTGCAGATTGGCTGCCACCTCAAAACAGTGGCTACGACACGGGAAGTTCACAGTCTCACCTGTGAAGCCCCTTGAGACCTGGCGACGATGTGATGAGGCGCTATGTCAAACACAAGGATTATCATTATCATCATCATTATTATTATTATTACCTGTGCAATGTAAGCTCTGTACAGGAACACATCTCTCTCAACTTCCTTCTCTGGTCTGGAGAGCTGGAAGATAAAACACATCCCAAACAATTAAGAATTAAACCAACGAAATGCAGGGAAATGTTTCACTGCCGCAGTTGGAGCCCCCTCCTCCGTTTATATAGCCCGGGGCCCAGCCTCCTACCCCCGGAGTCCCCTGTCGTTCTATATCTCCCCGGGGTCCCCTCCCCAGCCCCCTCCCTCCAGGGGCCCAGCCCCCCCCCCCCCCCCCCCCGGGGCCCCAGCCCCCTCCCTCCAGGGGCCCAGCCCCCCCCCCTGGGGCCCCAGCCCCCTCCCTCCAGGGGCCTCAGCCCCCCCCCAGGGGCCCAGCCCCCTCCCTCCAGGGCCCCAGCCCCCTCCCTCCAGGGGCCTCAGCCCCCTCCCTGCAGGGGCCCAGCCCCCTCCCTCCAGGGCCCCAGCCCCCTCCCTGCAGGGGCCTCAGCCCCCTCCCTGCAGGGCCCCAGCCCCCTCCCCCCTGGGGCCCCAGCCCCCTCCCCCCTGGGGCCCCAGCCCCCTCCCTGCAGGGCCCCAGCCCCCTGGGGCCCAGCCCCCCCGGGACCCCAGCCCCAGCTCCTCTCCCCCCCCTGTCATTCCATGTCTCCCCGGGACCCACCTTGATCTTCTGCGCCTCGTTGATGCACTGCTGGAAGCTGCCGATGTAGAAATTGTTCTTCACGTCGAAGAGGGGATCTCCCTCCGACTGGGTGGCCGCCATCTTCCTCTCCCACCTTTCCGGAAGCGGGACGCGTGGCACAGGAAGTGACGAAGAAGCTCCCGCCCCCTTTCTCCACCTCGCGCCGCCCCTCCCACCGCCCGCACAATCCGCGCAGGCGCACTGGCTCTGAGTGACGTCACAGGGAGACTAATTGTTATTATAATATAACAATACTTATTATTATTATATCATAATATAATAAAAGTGATATAATATATTGTATTGTTATTATAATAATTATTATATTATTGGTATGATTATTATTTTATATTATAACAATTATAATATATTGTCATATTATTGGTATAATTATTATTTTATTATATAATAATAAGAATAATAATTATAGTTATAGTAATTATAGTATATAATTTCAGCACTTTTGGACATCCTCCCGACGATGAAAGGTGCTATACAAATGTAATGTGTTGTTGTAATATAATAATAAAACTAACAATATAATAATAATAATAATATAATTATTATTATATTTGGATCAGGTGCATTTGTCATGAAACGTGTCAAAAGTGCTTGATAAATTGAGATTAATTGGAAAGAATTGGTGAAATGTTGGTGACCATTTGTGGGACACTGCCGTGCGCAATTGGCTGCCGCATTTTGCCCACAAAATATACGGTCAATTCACTTTACAGTATATTCCGTGAAGCGCTATGAATTCTCAATGACATGATAAGGCACTACATCAAATGCAAGGATTACTATTCTTTTTTTTCCTGACACCAAAGAATTCTCACTTCTGGCGGGATGCTGGTGCAGCCACTAACAAGAACAGGAATGGGGTCCTTAATAAAGTGAGGAGGATACTGCAAAGCATCTCATTGTTAATAATACCTACATTTTGATGCAGCTCATTTTGTGGTGGGAGGGCTTCTCAAGGGGCTTCGGTTACCCTCCTACCACCACCCTCCTTGCCTTCTACCCCTCCTTATCCAGCTTAGGTGTAATCCTTGACCGTCCAGCTCTTTGGGACATCCTCCCAAGGCGAAAGATGCTATACAAATGTAATTTATTGTTGCTGTCGTCTCAAAGCACTTCACAGAGTGTATTATGAAAGGTAAGGGCTATTTTGTGGGTGATAGCAACCTTCCCTTAATTTGGGGTTAAAATTAGTGATACAATAATGGGTTATTCACCATCATTGATTGCCAACCCCCAATCACCCCGAAAAAAAATGCAGAACAAGAAATCTCTGGCACAAGGAAGAAACCATAAAATAATCTCATTTAATCACTTTTCCCATACAAGAATCTTGTTCTTGGGGGGGGGGGGGGGGGGGGGGAAGGTGGAGAAAATATTTGGTAAAATTTCAACAAATGCTAAAGTTAAAAGCCTTAAAAATACAAATGCAGAGGTGGGAAGAATATGAGATCACTGGAGGACTCATGTACATACTATTCATCCTCAAGCAATGGTATGCTTCACTCAAAGCCTACACGTTTGATTCAGGCTCCTCTGCGTCAAAGTATTCCTGGTCGTCTAGAATAAAAAGTGGCCTAGAACAGCTGGAGTTTGCTGTGTCTACCAGGGTGGTGCTACTGGTGCAGTTGCCCCTGAATGAGTTCTCGCTCGCGATGGTCATAAGCTGTAGGTTGTTCCTCGGCTGTTGCTGGTTTCCCGGTGTCACCAGCTTCCTCTGCAGTGGCATCTTTGTTCCTAGCTTTTGCACGGAGCTCTTGAGGAGGCTGGCTGGCGACTGCTTGATGCTGACATGGCTCGAAGGGATGCACTTCATCCACTGAAAAGGCACATGGCCTTTCCAAATGTTCCACGTCAGGAGAAGCCCAAACATGATGACAAACAGAACCAGGAAACTCTGAACTGTAACGTTAGCCCGCAGGTCTCTTTGTGTCACCAAAAGATTAGGCTGCCGGGCACCAAAGGTAGAAATGTCACGCTTTGCGGTGGAGAGAACTCCAGATTTATGATTCGGAGCCCAATTCGGTTGCTCAAACATGGCAGGACGAGAGAGATGAACTGATCTAGATTCACGGAGCAACAGGGAATAACTTGCCAGGATGTGAGTGAATTTTTTCCCATTAGTCATTTCAACAGCCTGGCAGTCATACTGACCCTTGTCATTTCTAGAGAGGTTAAGTATTAATAATCCATCCTTGATATGGATGTACTTTGAATTATCTGTTGGAAGCTTCTCTCCATTGAGGAGCCACTCCTTCTGAGCGAGGTTAGATGTCGAATGGCATTTCAAAAAATCGCTATGTTTCAGAATAATCACTTGATATTGTAGCGAAGCCCTTCCTGAAGAGAGGAGAATTTGTGCTTGATTTAATATGACCAATTCCATCAAAATATTGTATTAAACTGTATTATAAACAAAATTACAGAAGAACTGACATGCTTCCAGATCTTTTAAAGATACCAAAGCAGTAGCATTGTCTGTCTGCATAGAAGGCTGATTCTGTGTTGTACTATGATAATGCCCAATGCAACAATATTTTAGTTAGCGCTATAGCTAATTTGTAATTTATTTGACACTCAATTATCCACTCTGTTTGCTTATCTATGATGGGGCCAGAGCCAATTAGTGCAGATACTTGGCTCCTTACTGTAACCCAAGGAACAACTGAGAGTTGGATCCTTGATTTGTGCTTTCAGTGGATCTCAGGTAGATCATCATAATGATGAAACCACTTTACAGTGTATTCTGTCAAGCGCTTTGAGACGTTTTGACAACGTGATAAACCGCTATATTAAATATAAGGATTATCAGTATTAGATCGGAGCCAGGTCGATAGTAAGGGTACTACAGTTGACTTCAGCTCAGGGGCAAGAGGGGTGAACAGGAAAGTCCAGTCCACGTCTGAAATTGCACCTAGCTTTAGTCCAGAAGACCTTTTAATTGATGATTTTGCAGAAAGCTGCTCGCAGGGTACGTACTTGGACTGGGGCATTCCGAAGCGTCTCCGTTCTCCACGTTCTGGATCCATCCTCTGGTTTGGGGGAAAAAAGCTCATTTGTGGGCAAATGTGGCAGGCAATTTGTGTACAGCAAGATCAGACAAAGACTTACTTAGAGAGTAAATATTTTAGGGGATATGGCAGGGAGGTGGGTTTAAGGAAGGTTGTGGTGCATGGGCCACGGAATGATCTGTGGCAGAGCCAAATGAACTTGTTCCTGATTTCTTATGTTCTCATTCCCTCCCCACCACCTGCCCCCCAATACCTCACTGGCGTTTCAGCCTGGACCATGACAAACTAAAGGCCTGATGTGTGTGGCTTCTGAACCAGAGGCAAGAGTGCTGACCAACCCAGCTGAGATGAGACCCAACTGGGAAACACATCAACAATGGCCTTAGTTGATCTGGATTTACAGAACCAAAGTCATACCCAGTATATGCAGGCAGGGTTTCCCACTACACTAGGAACATACATGCAGAGGAGGCTCGGTACTCACTTGCTGTCTTTGCTTGCAATGTTGAGGCATTGTCTTGACATTGTATCCCAGGCACAGTAAGGATCCCTTGCCAACACACAGTCCCAGCAGGTCTTGTGCTGACTGCAGACAGCTACAGGCACTTGTACCACCTGAGATGGGGAGCTGATGTACAACTGACCCTGGGAAGCAAAACAATTTTACATCAATGAAAGCTATCATCATAAGAAAAAAAATTCTATTCTCCCCACACATTAATTACACCCAGCATTCACATTGTTGTAAACTATTTTTCGCCCACAAAAATACAGTCAATTCACTTTACAGTATATTCTGTGAAGGGCTTTGAGACGTCTCAAAGACGTGATAAGGGGCTATATCAAATATTATTATTATTTTACCCTGGTTGGTGAAATCTGCAGATTTTTCACAGGTTCCTCAGAAGGAAAGATCTGTACCTCTTCAACAATGAACATCTTCCCAGTTATACTCAGTGCCTTATGCAAGTATCCTTTGTCTGAAAAAAAAGAGTGAACATCCAGGTTTAATGTTACAGGTTCTGAATGGCCACATTTTGTTTCTCTGGTGCAAAGTCATCAACCAGGCCCAAAATATTCCACAGAAAAACTTTCTCAGAAGGCTTGAGATGTTTCAACCAAAGTCCTCACTGCCTGTTCATGTGGACATTAATTGCCCTCTTCAAAAAGACAAGGGAGTTTCTCCCGGAAACTCCTAAAGATTCACTCGAATACTATAGACGTCTCTCATTTTGATGAGAACAAACACCAGTGGCCAGCAGCAGGGAACTTGTATCACTGCCATGAGCTCTGATTTTTATTGAAGCCTTTAAACTGCTCAAGCTTCACTCTCACAGATAATTATTTGCTTATAACAGCAAGCCATTCACTCACTGCGGGTTACATATTAGTCATACACATCCAGAGAAATGCCTATATTTGGTTACGTACAATGTTCCTGCATTTGTACCTTTCTTTGTATGATGTCCACTTTTAAAAAGGACACTTAGAAAGCTTAAATCAGATCTTTTGGTGTAAATTTCCTTCAGTGTAAAGTAAGCACATATTTCAGAGTACAAATTACCTGTTCCCAAGAAAATGACGTTGTATTGCTTCTGGTCGGTGGCAGTCACTCTATGCACAACTATCTGGGTGTAAATAGTGGCTTGTTTTACTAACACCGGCTGGTTGTCTTTAGGCATCACCACATCATTCAACAAGGGATGCGTTTGTAGAAACAGAAGGGTTTGATCCGGCAGATCCAGAGAGGTCTTATAGCCGCTCTTAGTCAGATTATTATTGATACACTAGATAGAACAAGAATACCAGATTTCAACAGCCTTCAAATGCTACTAACTCCTGCAATTGTACATCTCACATACATTTATATATACAATATTTTGCCCACAAAATATACAGTCAATTCTCTCTGCAGTATATTCTGTGAAGCTCTTTGAGACGTCTCAAAGACGTGATTAATTGCTAGGTGTCCTGTAGCTCAGTGGTAGAACATTCGCCTCGCAAGCGAGAGACCTGGGTTTGATTCCTGGCCGGGCGAAACCTTGGGCAACTTTCCTTGCCTGATAATAATCCCTCAAGAAAAAAACAATGATAAAATTGGTCACTTCAATCCACGACTGCTTGTGGGACGCTGCTGTGCACAATTGGCTGCCGCGTTTCTCCCACAAATATACAGTCATTTCAGTTTACAGTATATTCTGTTAAGCGCTTTGAGACGTCTAGAAGACGTGAAAAACGCTATATCAAATGCAAGGATTATTATTATATCAAATGCAAGGATTATTATTATATCAAATGCAAGGATTATTATTATATCAAATGCAAGGATTATTATATCATAGGATTATTTATTGTTATTACAACACTGGCTATTTCAACAGTAATGTCACCATATCAAATACAAGGATCGTTCTCCATAACAAAAAATACAGGCTGGAAGTAAACATGTATTCCATTTTATGCAGAAAGAAAAGCAGCCTCTAATTGTTGTGCAGATTTTGTTTTGTGTTTGGAAAGTTCTTGTACTTACAGTTCCAGGACGGGGCACAGGATTTGGTTTTATGGACTCCATCATCTTGTGATGAATTATATCAAATGTTTTGAAGTTTCCTTCGTTAAATACTTTTTGAATCGCCGCCATAGTGAAAGTACAGACTGCGGAGTTGTTCTGCAGGCTCCTGTGTGAGTAACATTAGTTTGCCTCAGCGGGCAGCTTCCAAAACCAGCTTCCACTGGTGGCTGAACGGAGTCAGAAGCCATTTTTAAAACGGGTAAGAATATAAATGAGTCGGGACCGGGCGTTTTGTCCAATTTACCCGCCGTCCAAAGTTTAACTGGCGTCCGCTTAAAGCAGCTTCCACTCGCATTAGGTGGAAATGCTTGTATACTTTTATTCACGCGGTTGACCTTCAAACATTTTGTTTTAATGTCTTTTTTTTGGCTTACCACTGTGATGTGAAGGTGGCGTAGAAAATATTATCTCTCCATTTGGGTGCCCTCAATAAAAAAACATCCTGAATGACATTAAATGGATAGTTTGACTTAGGAAAATTGCACTCAAGTCCAGCCTTCACAAAGGAGCTCCACTTCCTCTGCAAAATCCGTTGGCCACCCTTATCCCCCTGGACTCATCGGAACAAACATGAACAAAAATACATTATATATTAATAATATCAATTTTAATAATAATGATAATAATAATAATATTCCAACTTACAACAGTAGCTCCGAATCCAATGGTTCTGCACCATCCTATAGTGAAGAAACCTACAAAGTTTTGTCACAGAAGAAGGCTATTTGGTCCATTGTGTCTGTGCCATGGACTATTTTATCATCCTTTGTTATTAATCCCACATTCCAGTTCTTTCCTTTTATCACATATTGTTACTGTTCTGGGGCTTATCTGATACTCTCTCTGGGACGTGACTCTCAGCAAATTGTCCACCACATTTCCCTCCAGAATACACAGTCCCTACAATGAATACATCCAGCGCCTTGGGACAATCCAGGCAATGATTAGCTGCACCTCCTCAATGGTTGAAATGTTTTGCCTTTTGTCTCTTCAGCTACTTAAGTTGTGCAACTTAAGTAGTGCACTTGTGCGCTCTGCTGTTGCAAGGCGATTATATAATTACGCAGGCTGAATCCCCACTGCAGGCCCACACAGTAGATAAGATATAAAGATGTTTGTGAAGTGACTTGACTCACCACGTTTGATTTATAAAGCAAGACCAAAGGCATCCCATCACGGAGCACTCACCTTACACACTCGGGCAACTCTTGAGATCAGTACTTCAGATTTGAAATTATACTCAATGGCCACCTCACTGAAAAAAAGGTAAATCTTATCTTCGTCACCCTCGGGGCTGTCTTCACTCTCCCGCACCACGTCCACATAAACAAAATTGGGATCTGTCAAAATAAAATGCATTGATATTCAGAATGACTGCACAGAGCAAATCTACGGTAGATTTGCTCACATCAGTACTGTTCTGCGAACAGTTAAGAGAAACTGCTGGGGAGCGGGAAGGGGGAAGGGGAACTGAACGATACCTAGGGATGTCAATTGACACATCACTCATCTTGTCAAAGCAGAACGCAGCAGCAATAAACAAGGGTAAACAGGATTCTGGGCTATGTTATCAGTTGAGTTCAGGCATACTCAAACTCAAGTATGCATTGGGAGGAGGAACCAGGACATAAAAGACAGGGGAAGGCATAAATAACAGGAGAAGACTCTAGTGAAGGAATCAAACCCAATGATGTCAAAGCTTGTGAATCTGGTATGGTTGGGTGATAGTGCGGGAGGAGGGTCTGTTTGGTTTCAATTCAAAGGTCAGATCAAAACATAACCCGACTCCAAAACATGCTGGATGAGAGAAAGGAGTTCCTGGAACCTTCCACTGTTACACACAGGATGTACGCACTTTTCAGCCAGCAACCAATGTTCTCTGTTCTCAGGCTACTGTCCTTAAGGCTGCGTTGGAAAATCGGCTGAGAGCCAAGGAAATTGTTTTCTGTTGCCGAATAAAGCTCTCCGTCTAAAATGCATTGAAACACATAACAACCAGAAGATGAATCACAGTTGGTTGATGAAAGTAGAGTGAAAAGTCATTTAACTATGAACTGCATTAAAACGATAATATCTAAATATTATAAACAACTGTTTGTAGGACACTACAGTGCGCAATTGGCTGCACGCAAAACTCAAAGTCACTCCACTTTAGATTATATTCTGTAAAGCACTTTGAGAAATCTCAACGATGTCATAAGGCGCAATATCAAATGCAAGAATTATTATTATATCCTAACACTAAGGTTGAATTAAACACAAGGGCTTTCGTTATGGTCAACAGATGGATTTGCCTACAAGGTACAATCACTACAAGTACTTTCAGACAGCTATATCAAACACAAAGGTTCTTGTTAAATTATTATTATTGCAATTTACAAAGATTGGGTGTTACTGGATTATTGGTCTCTTTAGTTCAGCTTTTTTTAAACACACTGTAATGACTAGAACGATACCTCAATTGAATTCCAGTCCAAATTACAGTAAAAAGGATTCAGTGTAAATAAGATGGAATAGACTGTTCATTCAGACAACGTGCAAGTTTTTTCCGTCAGTCTTTTCCAAACAGAACATATTCAACAATAATTCTTGCATTTGATATAGCGCCTTATCACGTCGTCAAGACGTCTCAATTTCTGCAGATGAATTAAAATCGTTTCATTCTCTGCAACTCTTCTTTTGCACAGTGCAAGAACTACAAACTGTAACGCTGGAAACTATTATTTTTTGGAGAACAAAGTGGTCAACTTGAATTGAATGACATACCGACCACGATGGAGGTGTAAGTGTACTTCGGGTCATACGGTGCCTTTCCCTTGCTGAATTTCGGTTGCCTCTTCAGTTGGATTTTACCATTGTCAACAGTCTGTCAAACAGAACCTGAGTAACTCATACACTCTGAGAATTTATCATCATGATCTTGACAAAAGCAAAATGAATCGGTTGTGTTACACCTTCATTTTGAGAGCAACCAGTATACTTATCGATACCCTGTGTCGTGCGTGCATGTAGTTTTCTAATATAATAAGAACTAGATCAGCTGATGGTAAAATCTACCTGAAACCACTAAGAAGCATGGGTGACTTTACGTAGATCACAAGAGAGGTTGGGATGAAGCAGAACCTTCTACCCATTTAATCTCTCCCCCCCCACCACCCCACCCCCTCATTCCCTAGAACATCAACTGTACAGTCTTCCCATTACAGTATTGAGCTGTTTCTTAAATTAAGGTTGAATATCCTGGTCTCAACCACCCTTCCTGGAGATAAATCCAATATCAATTTCTTACTTGGATTCGCTACAGTTACATGGTATAATAAAATAGAAAAAACAACACATTTATCAACATGTTGGATATGAATAGACCTCAATACCTGGAGCCTTACTTCATTTGTGAAATGAGATACAAATCTCAGTCCAGCACGCTATTACCTCTGTGGATCACTTGATCCCCAGAGCCACTGTATACTCACCATGTAATCGCACATTGGATGAAACGCATGTGTCCCACAAACGTACAAATTGTTTTCAGTTACCCTGTGGATGCCAACAATGTAGTTACGGCAGTCTTCCTGCAATGAAAAAAACATAAATATAATTCTTTTTTGACGGATACTCTTTCGCATAATGACCACTTTGAGATGTCCTACCCAATGTGAAAGGCACTGTAAATCAATGTAAATGTGTAGTGTATTGTGTAACTATTGTTCTTATTAGGATCTTCTGAATGAGTATTGGGTCAGAGAAGGGCTGTTAAGTAGGTCAGAGAGCTGGAATGACCAAGATGGACCTAATGGCCTCCTTCTGTGCTGGGAAATGCTACGATTCTGTTTAACCGCATGAAATCTAGTGGTTGATAGGATGATGTCCACTGCAGTAGAATCTGAGCTGACTGCACTCTGCTTTCATTCGTTCAGTTTCAGCTTCAATTATCTTCACGTTTGACTGTAAGCCTCCAGAAACTGGCCTCTCCGGTCTGGGGCCGCTTTAGGAATTGGTACTAGATCACTGTCTAGGGTGTCAGATTTCTGAGAGAAGCGATTTTTTTTCTTTGAATGCTCAACTGGCGAAATTGAGATGAACAGGGCTACAGCGAGTGCCAGTAAGGGTGCTTTACGGTAAATTGATCTCTTTTAAGTTAATGCTAAACCTGCTAAACTTCTAAGGGAATAAGAGAGGGCGGCAGATTATCTTGAGAGACTTCTGGCTACTTGCGACATGTACGTACGTTTCGAGATTTCCCTTTCTTCTCACACTCGCTGCTATTCGCTTCAGGGGCTGGCCATGCTTCCTAGAAAAAGGAAGAGAGCTACAAATGCATAAAACTGCGGAGATGGCTGCTTTTATTTTGTACTTGGAAGAGAAGCCAGAGAATTTTAAATCAAATTCTGCAGTAACTCCAGTCCTCCCTCCGATCTTTTACTCTTCTCAGCTACATTAAATGTACCCCTTTCCTGAAAGACTTTCCTAGTCTTTTGTCCCAAGTGGCCAGTCTTCATTTTAATATTAATAATAATAATCCTTGCATTTGATATAGCGCCAGATCACGTCGTCGAGACGTCTCAAAGCGCTTCACAGAACAAACTGTAAATTAATTGACTGTATATTTTCGTGGGAGAAACGTGACTGCGATTGGGCATAGCAGTGTCTCAAAAACAGTCGTGGATTGAGTGAGCAAATCATCATTTTTTAATTGAAGGGATTATTACCCCGGAAAGCGATCCACCAGTCAATTAACACTGGGATACAACTTACTGCTAGGTAAACAGGTGTGTGGAATAAGGAAAACATCCCTAAGGTTTCGCCCTGCCCAGGAACCAAACCTGAGTCCTCTCACTTGCGAGGCAAGTACAATTTTGAGATTGTACACCGCTCAGTGTGGATTCAGATGGTTGTGTGATGGTTGAGAGACCTGAGTACAATTCCAGGCAGGTCAGGGCGAAACCTTGGGCAAATTTCCTTACTCCACACAGAGCCTAATATTAATCCCTCCAAAACCAAAAACAATAATAAATTGGTCATTTTCAATCTGCGACTGTTTGTGGGACATTGCTGTGCGCAATTGGCTGCCGCGTTCGCCCACAAATATACAGTCAATTCACTTTACAGTGTGTTCTGTGAAGCGCTTTGGGACGTCCTCCCGACGTGAAAAGCGCTATATCAAATGCAAGGATTATTATTATTATTATTATTATCACAACAATGCTTACTTGTGAAATAGTCTTTGAAATATCCTCAATGTTGAGTGCAAAGATAGCATCTCTGGCACCAACAATCAGCAGCTTGTGCTCCTCACTGAGCAGCAGTGATGAAACATTGGACAGTCCTTTTTCGGTGAAAGTTTTCAACTTTGCATCTGCAAAAGTAGTTACAGCAATAATGTAAGTTACAGTCACATTGCAAAATACTACATATTAGAGGAGTAAATTCTCTTTTTCTCTCTCTCTCTCTCTGAAATTGTGGTTGGAAAAAACACCACAAACATCTTACCTTTATAATTTACAGATCGTCTAGGTGTAGAGTCCAGGACAGAGGCTTGAGAATGCAGAAGATGTTCAACAAACAGATGAACACACAGGAATACAGCAGTTTTGTGTGTTTTGGACGAGCACATTTTCAGACTCTACCTTCGGAGATTACTTTTATGCAACGATCTCTTAAAACTTAAAAGAGAATCGGGTGTTTGACCTTTGCAGAATTAACACAATTAAAAATATGCAAACCAGACTGAGCCTTCCAAATGTATGTCACCCACACATGCACTCTCTCTCTGCTCTCTCCTAGCAGGACACATCTTGCTTTTCTACTTCTCTCTCTCTCTCCTGGCAGGACACGCCTTGCTTACCTACTTCTGGAGGGTAGCAGGTTAGCAAGAGCCAAGGCTTGGGGACACCAGAATGTGTATGGACATGAAAGGTACAGTAGAAGGTACATTGAAGGTACAGTTCAATGCAAGGAACAATTTTTTTTATTATTATCCCTTTGAAAAATTCAACAAACCACAACTGAGTAATTTACCTGAAGGCTAGCCCAGTTCTTACTCAACCCCAATTCTCATCAAATTTCCTCTGTTCTCTTTGGCTCCACCACCACCTCGTTGTTTCTTTTTAAGCGATCACAGATTAAAAGGCAAACTCCTCCAACACTGATTACCAGGAGTCAATGGTTGGCTTCAGTGTACTTCATTGCTCAATGGCTAGCTGGTACCTAATTCAATACTCGCTAATCTGCTGCAAGAAATCTTGACTAACGCTCCGAGACTTTACCTCGCTTCAAGGGTGCTATACAAATGCAAATTGTTGTATCTGCACAGGACCTCCCAATTACAGAGGAAAGATTCTGCCACTTTAGGAAGAAATGCCCACGAATAACAATAACCCAACGCTATTTGCACTGATAAGAGCAAGAAGGACAGAACCCATCACAATACATGTATCATGTAAAACCACACTTCAGAACAGTCTGTGTAAGGCGTCCAGCCCAGCCTCAGTCGAACCCACACTTGACTCTCTATTTGTTCTAAGTATCTCAGCAGTTTGAATCCTTCCCGAAGGGCACAAGAAACCATAAAGAATATGTGAAATGAAATGAAACCAGAGGTTTCAAAGGATGCATTACCTTAAACTCAACTGTCAGCAATTCTCTCACTCAGAATTATGAATGAAGCTGGATCGAGCAGTTCCTTGCCAAGTCACACCTGCAAGGATTTCTTGTTTTCACACTTCTCGTTCCCCCCGCCATCTTCTCAGCTTCTTGATGAGGTCTCTACAGTCTTAACCTTAGGCACATTTAATGAGTTTGGTATCTCCATCCACAATATTATTCCCATCTCGGCATTGCACAAATCTTGGAAAACTGCGGCTCTTTGAAAAAACAAATCACAAGATGGATTCAGATGTAAAAGGTCTTGGAGTCCATTTAGTCTCATCATTTTGTTTCGCCCACAAAATATACAGTCAATTCACTTTATGGTATATCCTGCTTTGGGACATCTCGAAGACGTGATAAGGCGCTATATCAAATGCAGGGATTATTATTATCCTACTTAAGTTTCCCTAACTTACCCTGGACTTGTGCTCTCCTGTTCTTGATGTATCTGAAACTATTGTTGTGGCTTTACTCTCTCAATCCCATTTAAAATCATATACACCTCTTCAAGGTCCCCTCAGAGATATATCTTTCAAGGCTGAAGAACTCTTGCTTATCTAATCGTTCATAGCTCATAGCTAAGACCAGCACAAGATCAGCAAGGTTGATCAGAGACCATTTGGATATCTGCAAGATTTGGCTTTGGATGAAGCTAACACATTATCCTCCCTCCGCCATTTGTGTACAACACAGGCTAGATTTGCACTGGTATTGCTCACACCAGGTAAAGTGTCAGTCTGGCTCAGTTTGTAGCCTCGCTTCAGAAGTGCTGCATTGTCAGGGTTGCAGTGCTTTGGATGAGATGTTAAACTGAGGAGAAAATGTAAATACAACAACAACAAGATTACATTTGCATAGCGCCTTTCACGTCGAGAGGACGTCCCAAGACGCTGGACAGAATACAGCTTTCAGATAACAGAATACAACAGAGGCTTTGGCAGGCAAGTGAGTTACAACTTGTGTTGAAGACGCTCATGTCAACTGGAACAACATTTGAAAAGCAACAATCAATCTCAACGCTCCTCAACTAAAGAAAGTGGGGTGGAATGGTTAACCTAGTGCTGAAAACAGCGCATCCTTGCATGTCAAGTGAGAATGAAATGTCCCCCATGGTTGATCTGTGTGCTCACACTCACGTAACAAATTGAGCAAATCATTAAAGGGCTACAAACACCAATAGAGAGGCTACCAGTCAGGCCGCTCGTGGAACTATTCCACAATACAATCTGAATCTAAAGTTTTGCCCATACTAATTTGACAGTGCGGAACTCACTTTCCTGACTGTACCCTGTTCCACCACCAATCAACACCCCCCACCCACCCATCAACAATACCCCCCCCACCCATCAACACCCCCCGCCACCCATCAACACCCCCCACCCACCCATCAACACCCCCCCCATCAACCCCCCCACCCATCAACACCCCCCCACCCATCAACACCCCCCCCACCCATCAACACCCCCCCCACCCATCAACACCCCCCCCACCCATCAACACCCCCCCCACCCATCAACACCCCCCACCACCCATCAACACCCCCCACCCACCCACCCATCAACACCCCCCCCACCCATCAACACCCCCCCCCCACCCATCAACAGCCCCCCCCCACCCATCAACACTCCTACCACCCATCAACAGTCCCCACCCCCACCTCTCCAGCCCCGGACCAAGGGGTAGTGCCATGGGAACCATCCCCCCCCCCCCAACACCCCTCTCACTCTCAGTCGCGACTCCTCCCACACAGCAACCGTCGTGCGCGCGCAGAAGCCCCGCCCTCCCTCCCCGCCACCACACAACTGCGCACGCGCGGCTCCAGCTCCCACTGATTCCATCCAACTTCATCTGAACTCCAACCAACTTCATCTAAATTCAATCCAACTCCATCCAAACTCCATCCAACTCCATCCAAATTCCATCCACTCCATCCAACTCCATCCAACTCCATCCAACTTCATCTAAACTCCATCCAACTTCATCTAAACTCCATCCAACTTCATCTAAACTCCATCCAACTCCATTTAAATTCCATCCAACTCCATCCAAACTCCATCCAACTTCATCTAAACTCCCATCTAAACTCCATCCAACTCCAACTTTACTCAAATGCCATCCAACTCATTACAATTTCCCCAACACTGCACACCCTGCTGTTCAATCCTTTTCTCAATGGACAGGCTCATTATTTTGTATATGAGTTTATTGCAATACCTACAAAAGAATCCACATTCCACAAAGGACAGACAGCAGTATTGGATGATTCATGCACTGACACTTGGGTTGAATTTCAGTGTAAATGTAATGCAGGGTCCCAACAAGAGAAGTTGAAGACAAACCTTTCATGTCCCCAGTGACTATTAAACAGCTGGAATACCAGATCAGGTGAGGCAGGATCTTAACCACAAAATCCAATAATCCATGCCAACCAATTTCACATCATGTTGTAGTTTAGGAAAAATACTCACAAACAGAAAAGCTGCAGAAGACATTGAGTGCACAAAGAGTTAAATCTAACCTGCCTCAGACACCACAGGGTTCAATGACAAGGTGATGCAGTGAAGGATTAATAACCTTCTGATTGTTCCCAGATAAGACTGAGGTTTGGGGTTGCTTCAAAGCCACTCAATGTGTTTGTGTTGGTTGTCATTGCTACTAAATGGATAGATACCATGTCAGGCTACTGTGAGAGGAGCCACAAACAACCTGTCCTTGTGAAAGATGAATGATGAATGAGCCCATGTTACTATATTTGCTTTAATATTAACGTCTGTGGCTCCATCTGCTCTCCAATGAAGTGTTGGATACAAGATGTTGACATTCAAGCACTTATACCCACACTTTCAGGAGAGTGGATCATTGCAGCGATTAATTAATTATATGACCTTGGCAGCCTGAAATTACTCTTTGTTTTAGCCTTGGGACAATTCGGTCATAAAATTTAAGATTACCTTCTCTGAGATTAGCTAATTTAGCACAGACCAGGGACTGAGTTCAGCACCTGCCTGTTTAAGTGCACTTAAGACTAAATGAATAATCATTTTACTTGTAATGAATGGGTAACAGAAGGGCTGTAGGTACCTACCTTAGTAGTAGTAACAGAAAGATTTGAAGGGAGACTGACTGTCACTGGGAGCCTATCTCACGACTATTGCTAAAAAAATTGCAATTTTTTATTACTCCTTTATTGGTAATATACAGTTGATAAAAACTATGTGTTAGGCAAATTCCCTCCTCCGACCCCAAGGGTTCCTTGTGTAACAAGGTTCTGTTTCAGCCAATGTCACGGCGGGTATCCATTCATAATAGTAATAATCCTCACATTTGGTTTAGCGCCTTTCACAGCATGAGGACATCCCAAAGTGCTTGATAGGATATAGAAGTAAAGTGCCGTGACTTCGTAGTTTGTGGGTGAACCCAGCGGCCAGTTTGCGCCCAGCATTGTCCCACAAACAGCCATGAAGTGAATGATCAATTTTATTTGGGGGATTGTTGGCCAGAACACTAGGAGAAACTCTTTCTCTTTTCGAGTAGTGATGTGGGATCTTCAATGTCCACCTGAACAGCCAGACTGGGCAGGGGCTCGGTTTATCATCTCATCCGAAGGACGGCACCTCTGACAATGCAACACCCACCCCAGCACTGCATTGGAGTGGCAGCTTAGACTGTGTGAGTTCGAAGCTGATGTGGGGCTTGAACCCACAATCTTCTGAATCAGAGGCAAGAGTGCTTGCAACCTAGCCAGTCTGACACACATTGCCACGTGTGGAGCTAATGTTAAATTCTCTGAGGAGCAATATGTGTTCCAACACGTGCCCAGTGTGCTCTCTCTTGCTTTCTGTTTTTCTCTCTATCCCTGTCTATAACCACAGCAGCAGGAGTTATACAACCTTTAAATAGGGGAAAAAACAAATTAGTGTGAAGTAAACCACTTATTCCCAAAACTAAGAGACAGTGGTAAAACATTGGAGATTGATTATTTTTAAACAGAACTAACTTCGTTTAATTTGACATGAGTAAATTATAAAGCGAGATACATTTACTCTCATTCATGACACACTCATTGTTTTTGTGTGTGAGGGACGGAGGGAGGGGAGAAAATTTAAATACACAGCTTGTGAGATGACAGGGAGAAAGCAGAGACTTTGGTATTTTGACTAAAAGCAGCTGAAAAGGGAGCAGGTTTAATCTGATTTGCAGCAGTGAGTATCTGTTGGATTTGCTTTATCAACAAGGCTGATCGTACTGTGGGTAAAACATGTGAAGGCCATTTGTTGTAATGTCAATACAGCTCTGAGACTTGCATGCATTGCAAGTGGCTCTGCGTGAGCACGAGTTGTTGTGAAGCTTTTCCGGGGGTAATAATCCCTCCAAGTAATAATAATAATAATTTGATCGCTCAATCCACAACTGTTTGTGGGCCACTGCTGTGTGCACATAAATATATATATATACACACAAATATATATATATATCCAAGTTGTTGTTGTTGTGCGTGACTGGCTGCCGCGTTTTGCCCACAAAGTATGCAGTCAATTCACTTCACAGTATGTTCTGTGAAGCGCTTTGAGATGTCTCAACTATGTGATAAGGTGTTAGCTATATCAAATGCAAAGATTATTATTATTATTATCTTATTTCTCCTCCTGTTCTCTTGAAGGTGCTGATTTCGGATGTGGTGCATCGCCACGACCCAGGTGCTTTGGACAACTGTGAGCCTACGTGACAGAGGAGGATGTGACAGAAGATTTATTCACAAACACTATCCTGCATCTTGTCTTGTGTAGTGAAATAGGGCTAATCAGTAATCTGAAAGCTAAGGCTCCTCTAGGGCAGAGTGACTCTTACATGATGGAATTTAACATTAAGTTAGAGAGTAATATGGTTGAATCTGAAGCCAGGGTTTTAAATCTAAATAAAGCCAACTTTGCAGGTATGATCCCTCCAAGTAATTTGGACATGATCCCTCCAGTGCTTTGGGACATCCTCCCGACGTCAAAGGCGCTCTATAAATGTAATTTTGTTGTTGTTGAATTTTGTCGTATGAGAGAAGATTTGGCTAAAATAGACTAGGAAATTAGATTTAAAAATATGACGGTAGACCAGCAATGACAAGCGTTTAAAGATATAATACATAATTCCCAGTGATCACATATTCCATTGGAAAAAAACACGGGAAAAGTGGTTCAACCTTGGCTAACTAGAGAAGTTAGGGAAAGTATAAAATTNAAAAAAAGTCCTATAATACTGCCAAAAAGAGCAGTAAACCTGAGGACTGGCAGGGCTTTAAAGAACATCAAAGGAAAACCAAGAAACTGATTAAGAGGGAGAAAATGGAATATGAGAGTAAACTAGCTAGGAACATAAAGACAGATTGTAAGAGTTTTTACAAGCACATAAAGAGAAAGAGACTACCAAAAGTGAATGTGGGTCCATTGCAGGCAGAGACAGGATAAATTACAATGGGGAATAAAGAAATGGCAGAGTCATTAAATGATTATTTTGCTTCTGTCGTCACGTTAGAGGACACTGAAAACTTACCGAAAATAGAGGGGAATCTGAAGGCTAATATTAGTGAGGAACGTAAAGAAATGAACATTAGTAAAGCAATAGTACTAGAAACATTGATAGGATTAAAAAACAATAAATCCCCCTGGACCTGATGGCCTGCATCCTCGGGTTTTAAAAGAGGTGGTTGTAGAGATAGCAGATGCTTTGTTTTTGATCTTGCAAAATTGATCTTGGATTCTGGAATGGTTCCCATTGATTGGAAGGTCGCAAACGTAACACCACTATTTAGGAAGGGTGGGAGAGAGAAGATGGCGAATTATAGACCAGTCAGTCTGACCTTGGTGGTAGGGAAAATTCTAGAATCCTTAATTAGGGACGTTGTAGTGGGGTACTTAGGACCATAATATGATTAGGCAGAGTCAACATGGCTTTACAAAAGGGAAGTCATGCTTAACAAATCTTTTAGAGTTTTTTGAGGATGTAACTAGCAGATTAGATAGGGGGGAAACCAGTAGATGTAGTATATTTAGATTTTCAGAAGGCATTCGACAAAGTGCCACATAAAAGGCTGCTACACAAGATTAGGGCACATGGAACTAAAGGCAATGTATTAGCATGGATCGAAGAGTGGCTAACGGGAAGAAAACAGAGAGTAGGGATAAATGGGTCCTTCTCAGATTGGTGGGATGTGATGAGTGGAGTGCCACAAGGATCAGTGCTTGGCCTCAAATATTTATAATCTATATCAATGATCTGGACGAGGACATAGAACTTAAAATATCTAAATTCTCGGATGGTACTAAGCTAGGTAGGAGAGCAAGCTCTGAGGATGACACAAAAAGATTGCAAAGGGATATAGATAGGCTAGGTGAGTGGGCAAGAAGGTGACAGATGGAATATAATGTGGGGAAGAATTAAATTATTCACCTAGGTAGTAAAAACAGAAAAGCAGATTATTTTCTAGAAGGGGAGAGACTAGATAGTGTTAGTGTTCAGAGGGATTTGAGTGTCCTTGTACACAGGTCACAAAAAGTTAGTTTGCAGGTACAGCAAGCAACTAGGAAGGCTAATGGCATGTTGGCGTTTATTGCAAAAGGGTTAGAATACAAGAGTAGGGAAGTCTTGCTGCAATTGTATAAGGTCTTGGTGAGACAGCACCTAGAATATTACGTGCAGTTTTGGTCTCCTTATTTAAGAAAGGACACACTCGCCTTAGAGGGGGTGCAGTGTAGATTCACTAAGTTAGTT